TTGCAGAGACAAATGTTCTCGCACGCTAGACGCACGTTTTCGCGTTTGGTGGGAGGCGTTGCACGAAAAGCTCAAACTAGCCGAAAGGAATGAAGTTGACGAAGACGCCATGATGAGTGTCTCCTTATCACGGCAATCAGAATCCGGGACCATTGGGTTCCAATTGTTTGGCACCTCCGCATGCACCAGATCCATACAGCATCTTGTGACGTCACCGATGACACTGCGCAATTTGTCCAGCAAGCCACAAAGCCGATGACTTCACAACACACGAACCATTGGTCCCTTGGTTCTCCGCAGCGTCAATAGCTGTCGGCGACAGAAGTGTAACGAATCCCGACCCGTCGAAAGATCAAATGAACCGAAGGCTGGAGATCGTTGAAAGTTTAGCCTCGGCGCCGCTAATGTTTGGCATGTGCGACGAAGAGTTGGAAGCATCATTAGAAACTGATGCGTTGCATTGGCTTTCTGCAACAAAAAAGCCAGAATCAGGCAAGCTTGAGCGACCGAGACTCTTCACAACTGCTTCCGTTGCACTGAAGTCAGGGCTCCGCCGCCAGGATTCAAACTGCCGACTCGTCAGCAAACTTGAGCCATCTGTATGCCTCGGCAGAGACACATCTTCGGATTTCGTCATTATCCGCTCAAACAGAAGGGCGACTGACGCTATCAGCATGGTCAGCGAATCACAACAGGCGGCTTGTCTCCTACCAGCACCGCATGTTGGCAGGGCCTGTGGGCTTACAAATGTCTCTCTGGGAATCACTGATTCATCGCACAGCCTATGTAGTTCGCGACTTGCCAACGAGTGAACTTTCTGCAATTCAATGGCCTCACAGCACATACCAGGGGTTTACTGTGTATCGTTTGTCATTGTGGGCTGAGGTGTCTCGGATGTTGTGAGAGGAAGGCTTGCTCTGAGAGAAGGTGAGAACGCTGTTTTACATGGACGATATTATTGCTGCAGCTCAGCAAGCTTCTGGGCACTTGTCTAGTGCTCAGCAGGTCCGCGAGTTCAAAAACAAAATCCTGCAGTCTTTTTTTGAGCAGAGCGCGGCGATGCAAGTAGAATAATTACTTGAAAAGCGTCACGGGCTTCAGAAAGTGGATTGTTCTGAATAAGGTGTACTCATCCGGGGTGATGCTGCCAAGTTACATCAACCTTCTCACACTCCATAAGCTTTTACTCGGTAGTTTGACTGGCGCCGCAAGTGATTTTCTGGCAAGACTGACGTCACAACGACTTCTTCGCGAGCTGTTTGAACCGAATGAACTCAAACAGCTCAAGCGAAAATTTGTGGTGAAATCGCATTCGCTATGTGTTGAAGCGCTGCCGAGAAAGCTGCCATACTCTAAAATGGCAGCTTGCCTGCGACTTCAGAGACAGGCAACAGGCATCTCTGGATGTTCTGCTCAGCCCGAAATGCAGTTGCCCGCGCCAGACAACCAGGCCTCCAGACAGATGGGACCTCCTGCGGCCTTTTCACTTTGCAGTCGGCTGACAGAGCAGTCAAGCAGTGGAGGCAGGCAGGATTCCAGCCAGGATTCCCCAAAATGGATCCAAAACGGCCAAAAACCACAGCCATGTTGAGACACTGTCATAATTCGCCTAGCCACCACTTTATGTACATGTATAAATATATGTGTATATATATATATAGATAAAGCTTTGGGTGAATCGTCCAGCACACTCAGCAAAGTAGCGGCCATTTTGCAAGTTGAACTTCAGATCATGGCTGACCTGGTCCACCAGGCAATGATTCGGCTTGCCACCTGAGCTGGCTAAAGCAGGACGTTTGCGACAGTGCTGTGGCCCTCTTGAAAGCTTGGGTGTGGATGGCCGACACCTTGGTGGAGGCCAAGGGTGGCAGAGTCATGCCGCTGTACAAGGGCACTGGCCGGAGGGACTCAGTTGACAGCTTCCGCAGCATTTGCGTGACTTCAGTTGTCACCCGGTGCTGCCAAGCGGTCTTGCGAGAAAAGATTCTGACCGGCATTCGTCCTCACCTTGCGGAGTTTCTGGTTGGGGTCTTTGTGGATTTGGCACTGGCTGCAAGTCCATTCCCCATGCCGGAGGTTTTACCACCAAGCTGAAGCACTTTCTACCTCCTTTTTGTGCGGTTACTTTAGTTGAAAATAGATGGGCTCCACTGGTTTAGACGGTTTTATGCCCCATTTAGGGCCAACATGTTTTCCAGAACGCACCAACTTGCGATGAGCTTAGTTTTCGTGCGATGTGTGGCGCGAACTCCCACCACTTTAGTGGCGAGCGAGAAAGTTCATAGTGCCAATCAATGCAGGATGTGCTTTCTAAGGGACCTATTGCAAGGGCCTATGGAATCATGTTCCTGCACAGATTACTAACGTCCCTTTTTTTGAGAGAACAATCCCCGCCCCTTTAAAAACTGGAATTGGGGTTGCAGTTCCATTTTCCCTTTCATGGCATTGGGCCATTAAGGCTTGAATTGGGGACCATCCGCCCCCTCCGCATTAAGGCTTAGGGGATATAACATCGGATTGCAAAGAAGCCAAGGGGAAAAAACCGGACGTCTCCCGGCTTGAGGCTGGAGAGCCGAGGGGCCTTGGAGAAGGCCTTGGAGTCCTTCATCACCGAGGACGGGCCATGGATGGGCCGTGGGGGCCACGGCACTGATTGAAAAAACGCGAAACAGGACCCCGTGTAGTGACACGACATGGGCAAGTCTTTGTGTTTTTTTCCCGTAAGCCTTGGCTTGTTTTGTGTTTTTGCATTTTTTTCTTAGGTGGCCTTTCACCGGGGACCTGAAGCACATGTCATGTGTTTCCCAATCCCTCGCAGAATCAGGCAATCAACCATGGCTGCACTGCTCTTGGCACACTTCTTGGCTGTTGGTTTTGCAGTTCTGCTCGCGCTTATATGAAGCAATTAAGTGTTTTTGCTAGCATTCCACGTGGAAGATCACGCGCAATCCCCCCGACCGGAAGCCACAGGGGAATGCTCAACGTTGCCCATCTTCTCACGTTAGTGCGGAGGGTTGGCCCACGTTCCGTCGTTTCCTTTTGACCGCTACAGGAACAAGTGAGTGTGTCCCTCTTTTGGGGACCCACCAAAATGGTGCGTTTCGGTACCCTCAGAAAAGACCGACCCAAGTAATTAAGCATAAAGCAAGGCGGGGCTCAGGGTCAGGGGCCACATTGCCCAATGGCATAATCAAGGTTGCCTCGCCCAGTGCACTAAACTTGGCGTGATATGGTTCCAGGCCCCCTGCTTGCCATCGCAGCAGTGAGATTTAGGTCTTCGGGCTGGCTTGCTGCGTTGCAAGGGGCAAAGGGGCGGCCTTTTTGAGTGACCGAATCGTCATATTTGTGAACAACGCGGGCACTGGAGGAAAGGGAGCGTGTGTCCACCACAACCATAGAAGTGCACGGACCTTTTTGAAGAATGTTTTTTGAACGTGGGAGCCTGTCTACTTTGTTGTTTGCTGGTGGACGAGCATTGTCCATGAGATGTTGGCCCCAGATTAGTCAACCTGGTGGATAGATTCGGGGTGTTCCGCCCACAAAATGATCCTCGCCACTTTGAAACGACACATTCCTTTCTCCACAGGTCAAAGCCGCCGAAACCATAATTCGGGTATATCTCACCAGCCATTTCTTGATCCAAGGGTTCCCTGCATTTCTGCTCGGGATGTTTTCACATCACAACGCTGGGCCCGCCTTCGGCGGGGTTTCTTGGGCCCGACATGCCCGACGTTTTTTTCATAGGGAGCCCGGGCCCAGATCCTTTGGGCCTGGCGACTTAGGACCTGCTGCTGAAGCTCAATGCCGTGGAGCTTATGGACGCGCCGGGGCCCCGGCCGAAGTCTTGTTTTTTTTCTTTTGGTTTTCCAATTTTTGGCGGCCATGTTTTGTCAGGGCCCCCAAGGTGTGGCTGTCCGGTCCCCTTTGGAGTCTGGAGCGGTTTTAGCGCGGATACATCTATTGCAACAGGCCAGGGGTGAATCAAACCTTCACTGTTCTTGGCATGTTTTTAGTTTTTTAGTTATTTTTTGGTTCTGTTCATTTTTACTGGGGGTCTGCAAAAAACAAAGTTTTTTGCTACCATACCAGGAGTAGAGATGAAACGACCTGGAAGGCATCTGAAGGCCATGATCGGTATCATGAGCGGTGCTGCAGCCACCCAATCGGCGATGTCAGGTACTAAGAATGACAAGGTTGAACATCAGGAGACAAACGCTCGACCATGTTTGAGGTCATGTTCAAGCAGACACCCCTCATTTTGAGCCTCTCATTTGGCCTACCCAAAGCCACCAGCAAAACTCCCGATTCCTTGCCACATACGTCCATCTGCCGCTAAGCAATGGGAGGCGTGCCTTTCATCCTGAAGGCGAATTCCCAAAAGGAGTTTCTCTACTTCTCTACATGTGTTTTTGTGTTTGGGTTCCATGTTACTTGTAGGGGGTAAGTTGCATCTTAAGGTTCGGTCCAGTAGCACTTTCTCTTTTTTTTGGGAATGGTTTCTTCCTTCAAACTCCAGCCGACAACAAGCACTCGGTTGTCCAAACCCGACCTTTCAACCATTCGCTTCTCCCATGTGGGCAACCAATTTTGTCATGGCACCAAAACGGTGATCCCCTTTAATTTCCAGGTCCCTGGAAACCCTTTGTTCCCAAATAGCCACGTTTCCAATTTGTGTGGCCCAGCGGCACCCTTTTTCACTTTCTTTCGTTGTTGCCCTTGTTTTCTCCATGGGCTTCTGACTGGGGTCACTATTTTGACGGTTTCTGGGGGTTATCAAAGTCAGTAAATGGGGTTGTTTCCCTTTAACCCACCACTTAGGGGGTGACTTTGACCAGTCTGATCAGCTTCCCTCTTATTGGCGGCTTGGGGATATGAACCCCAGTACGTTTTGACAGCAAATGGGAAAGTTCCCCTGAACGGCCAAACCACCCAACCAAACCACCAACAGGGGCAAGTCTCCGTTGCAGCATCTATGGGCTTAAGTCTTGGCGCCCGCTGCAATGCACTCGCCTCGTTCTACCACCGACTCTATCGGGCAGGAGGGGCGGGTGAGGAGTGACGTGCTGCGGAGTGGTGCTGATGCACGGACCAAAGAGGGTACATGTGTTGGATTTTCAAAACATGATGAACCCCTAAACTGGTTGGCTTCCTTGTGGCCTCCCTTTACCTACCAACCAAAACGGGTCCACCCTGTTGTTCATGAAATATGAAGATTGTTCTTGCCCGTGGCTTGTTCTTCTCATTGCATGGAGTGCCAAAGGGGCGGTCTCAGCAAATCCTCGAGACCGAAAGGATGTTGTTAAAACCATAGCTGTCTCAACATATTTAAACAACGGGTTGGCCCAGCCCGAAGCACTGCAATTGTTGTTTGCCTGAGCTTTCGGGAATCCATAAGTCCAACAACCCTCCCACGTATACTTTTTGTGTCTATTCCCCCTCCCCCCCCTCCCGCAGAACTTGTGATGCATTTGGGGGCTCTAGAGTGCTCAAAAGGAAAAGTTCCTTGCCGTGGCCGCTTTGCTGGGAACGTTTCGAGGGTGAGCAAACAATCGCTTCTGAACCTTTCAGCTTTTTGGGGAGCATGATTCTTCCTTCTTCAGCTTCTTGGGGGACCTTGTCCTTGGAAACTTTTTGGGTAAGCAGCTTCCGCCTAGACCCATGGTTGCCTTGGAGCCCCGCAGGAAGTCCGCACGGACACGGCGCTGGAAGTCCGACCCCATAGGAAGGGCAGCACGGCAGCACTGGGGTCGCGCGAGGCTCCCTCAGGGTTCCTGGACTCAACTGTTCAAGCCTCCCATTTTCTTTTGGGGTATTTGTATTTTTCCGTTCTTGGTTTTAAAGGGAATCTATTTTTCCTCAGGGGACCTCCACAAGTGACAAGCTGATCAACTTTTCAAAGGGAAACCCAGTGACCCCGGTTTTCAGCTGCTCACTTCCTCACTTGTTAATTTCCTCCATTTTTAGTCATGGCCCCCCAAAAATGTCTGGGTCCAAAAGGGGCAAGTGAGCTTCCTGACACAAAACCTTGAACTTTGGATCTTGTTGGGTCTTTTTGGGCAAATCCACTCAGGAAATGACAGGCTTCCGACTGGATCCGTTTTACCAGTGCTTGTCTTGGGGTTCTTAGAGTTAGTTTGGGGCAGTTTAATCGGTGGCATGGCTGCATAAGGTTGCGTCAAACGGAGAGGGGCCGTACCAATGGCCCAGACACATTCCTTTGCAGAGAGAGCATGGAGCGTTTCCTCCCGAGCTTGTAGAGACACACATTTGGGTGTGTTGTTTTTTGGCGGGACCCCCCCCCAACAAAGCATGTTGGTTTCCTTTGGTTTCCCTCCAAAACCCCTACAAATGCATACCCTCCAAAAAGACATACCCATGGTTGGATTTGCGTGAAGCGTTTCAAAGATCACGGGAACCGTACTTGTGCTGTGGTTTCTCGAGGGGTTGCAGCACTGCGGCCAAGCATAGGACCGGGGTGTCCTGGCGCTTTTTTGCTCAAGCTTGTGTCCACTTCTGTGATACCCGGGGACCGCCCCCAAGTGAAGAAAACGTTCTTCGAAGCCGTTCCTCCTGGTGTCACAGAAGTGGGTGCAATCGCTGCAGCCGCTCTGAGAATCAGCATGCATTGTGGGAAATGCGTTTCGAGGGCCCAAGAGACAGAGTTGTTTCAGCATGCATCAAAGGACGGCACCCCAACACACAGCCCACAGCCCCCCCCCACCCTCCGCTGCCCGACTTGAACCGGGCCCCAGGCAGCATCGGCGCGCTCAAGGAATTCTACCTGCGGCGGCTCTCGCAAAGCGACGCTGCCCGGAGCCTCCGCACTTCCAGCTTCAGCCCCCGCACCAGGCGGGGCCGGGCGGGACCGGGCCACTGGGGGCTATGAACCTGGAAGCCACCTGAAAGGAAACCACCACTTGGACGGTTGGGGTCATTCCATTTCTCATTCCCTACCGATTTCGCACCAGCAAGATGACGGATTATCTACATGGGCTTGTTCCTCAAAATGCAGACCAATGAGCATAGAAGGCCTTCTTAGGTCACTTGGTTGAACTTAGATGGCACCTTTTTTGCAGGTTGGTTCTCATCATGTGCCAATGCCGTCTATTTTATCAAAAAGGACGCCTATGCCAATGAGCGGATAAATTTGAAAATGCCTTCCGCGGACTGACGGCGCTGGAAGTCAAGACATAGCAGCACCCCTGCAACTTTTTGCCATGGCTTTTCCGGTCGCCAACCTGGGAGTTGGTCATTGGCACTCTTTTTCCTGCCCTAAGGTCACCCCCAACCACAGTGGGCGTTTTGCTATTCTTGTTTTAGGAATTGACAAAATCTGTTCGAACCACTGTGAAACCATGGTTGAAAGTGGTTGGTATCTACGTTGGGGGTATTTTCCCTTCAACCTGCAAGAAGCTAAAAATTCTGCCAGCAACAAGTGATCAACTTTTTGCTATTAGGGGATCGCCCCATGTGGCCATGGAGATGGCATAACCTATGGCTCCATGGGGTGGAGGAACATCCATTTGCCACCTATTTTGATGTTCACCAGGGGTTTCTGGGTTTTGACCCACAGCCATGGGCTGCTTGGCCTCGCAGGACCAGAGACTCAGAGGTCGAGAGCGAGAGGAGCTACCCCAAGGCGCTTGCCTCCTGAGTTCGGCATATGGGCGTGTCATGTTTTTCAGGAGTGCCTTGTGTTTTGGCGGTTTTTTAGGGAGAAGCCAAGAAAGGGAAACCATATTTGTGTCTAATGTTTTTGTTTGATCTGTTGTTTGGTTTGCTTTTTGCGGGGTGGGGTTCCCGTAGAAGAAAAGACACACCGATATGAAACGACGGGATGCAAACTCGCAATAAAGCGCCCTTCCATGTACTTTGCCAGGGGAGTAATGTACTGATGAGGGAAGGGTGCACATGTTTAGTTTTCTCCAGTTTTGGCGCTGGGCATGCAACCAGTTTTGATACATTGCAAGATGCCAGCTGCAGGAAATTTTGCAGGAAATCTGTGTTTGTGTGTTGTATTTATCATTTTCCTGCGGAGTTTCCTCTTGCTGGTTTCTATGATGCATAATTACGTGCGGGCTGAAGTGGGAGGACGGGGTTTTCGATCCGGTCGCCTAGTGCCAAGGCGCACCCGGCTTAGGCGGGATGATCTCAGTCCCCCAACAAGGGGAAAGACGACCCCTCCAAGCTGACCCTGTGAATCCATTTACCTGTATAGTGGGCAACCAAGGGAACCACCCTTTAAGAGCCAAGAGAAGCATGGCTGGTGACCAAACTGGCTGGTTACCCTATTGGGGTAGCTGAGATCCACTAGTCAAGGTCCCAAAACATCAGCCCTCTTTTTCCACATCCTTTGGGCAAGTGAGTCATTGCTAGCCGATTGCAAGTTGCAAGGGGGCATGGGGCCCACCCAAGTACCCATAGTTCTTGTGCACAACATGGTAGAAGCACCTTTTCTAGTCGCCCATTGTACCCATAGTCGCGTTTCTGGAGTTCCTAGGAGCTAGCCACTTTGGGGCCTGACCTTAGTTGCAAAGTAGTGGTTCAAGTTCGAGATCGCTTGAAAAGCGGGATCCACAATTGCTTTGTCCTTTTTCTCCTGAACGGCCGAAGGATTCTCCTTCCGCCCGAAGGATTCTCACGGCACAAAGCGCGCCATGATGTCCAGGATGGTGGATGGCGGAGCCTTGAGAAGCTTGATGGTGGGCTGCTGGGCAAGGAATCCGAGCGTCCCAGGCGTCTTTATATATATATATATATAAGACCGCCTTTAAGACCGCTTTTTGTTGCGGATGGGCGTTGCTGTTGGCGGATCTGTGTGTGTGTGTGTGTGTGAGCGTGAGGGTGCGCGTGTGTCTGAGGCAATTTAAGATGAGATGTCTTTTGCAACACGTGGGGAAGACACATGTCATGACCCTGGGTGAGAGGTCCAATTCTGATGGGGAGAGAGTGTGTCCTGTGCGCAGTTCCTACTTTGTGGCATGGTTAGCAAATGGATCAGAACGCATAGTGGGGAGACTTTGCTCAGCTCCAGGTGAGGGAAGACCATTTCCTGCAATTTGATTTCTCGGGATTCCAACAGCGGCCTGGTTTTCATTTGAGGCGCCCAAATGCGGTTGGGTATGTCACGTTGCTTGGGGAGTCCCGAGTACAAAGTCCTGGGGACTTGGTCTGTGAACGCTCGTGGCCACACAAATCAGGGGAAGCCTGTCGCGCAAAAGCAGAGACACAAGGGCTCCTTCTACGTTAGATGATTTGAGCCAACCAGCTGTTGGAAGTTGGCAGCGTGAAGCTCCAGTTGGTATCCAGCATGCGCATGTCCAGTGAAATTTGGTGACTGGAGAGCTGACTGAACATTGTTGTTTTTTAACATTTTTTGGTGTATGGCGTTGTTCTACGAGTATTGATTCTGCCCGTCGCCCATCGGAAGAACATGGCTATGAGTCTGGGCACAGAAAGTCAGGTTCAAGCCCAGTTTACCTATCAGCCAAAGCATCGGTGTATTCTCAACTATCTGGAATGGTTGAAGCTTAGGTAGATCGATCTCCTAAAAACTTGTTGTTCCAAAGCTGCGTGCAGCTGGGTGTGTCTTCTTTTGGGGTCCCCCCCTTTTTGTGGTTTAAAGGGAAACCAAGAGGGAAACCAGGTATTTTGACGTGGGTCCCATTGAAAAAAAGAGACACGCCCAGGGCCCAACTGTTTGCAACTGGCGTGGCTCCAACGGATGGAGTGATTCAAGCACCTGGCCGCTGGCTTGTGGCTTGTTGCGGCAGCCGGGCATTCACCATCCTTACCCTAGCTGTCGGTTGGAAAAGGGAGCCATTCCGGGGCGTTAACGACCCATCCCAAGTTGCTTCTAAGCAGAGAACCTTGCGGGGCTAGGAGGTCAGGTAAGGAACGTGGTAGCAGTTAACAAAAAGCCCCCTAGATGATATGAACACCAACAACCTTAGGAAGCCTTGCTACGTCGGGTCTTAGGAGTCCTTAGGCTACGGTGCGCGCAAGTTGCGGTGGCCGAGGCTGTCCAAAGTTGTGCCCCGAATCGAGATGCTGAATGCCAAGCTAACGAGCATGCGCGCCGCTCTTGAGACAAGGACTTGCTGGTGTTGGCACCTGCGGTCTGGTCGAAACAATTCCCGCAGCCCCCACCCCCGCGGAAGGGCTTCCTGTTCCTTGGCCCAAGACCCGTGTCATTGGAGGGTGGGGAGGCAAGTTTGCACACAAACACACACACAAACACCGTCACACAGAAGTATAAATGGCTGTGGGTCAAAACCAATGGTACCATGTTAGGGCAGGTGCACCACCCATTTTGGAACCTATTTTAGTGGGGATTGGGATGTTCACTGGGGGTACGGGCTTTTGACCCACGACCATGAACAAATGAATGCATACTATGTATATGCATATGCGCAACATGCACATATTTTACATGCACATACATACGTTGTTTGCAGGAAGGATGATATGCAACGGCATCATGGTGCCATTTGAAAGAGTGCCACCTTGCACTTGCTTGACGGGGGTCAACACACGCAGAGGTGGGAACTTCTTGTGATTTCCAGAGGGGCACAGACTTTTCTGTTCCACTTTGGCCCCATCCAAGCACCAGTGTTGCTTTGTTCCCTGAATCAACCACAACAGGGGGGGCGCTGCCTTTCGTTTCTTTAAAGCCGAGAAGCACGTGTGCCTCCCCCCCCCCCAGAACCGTGGTTTTTGTTTTTGGTTTCCATTCAAAGCCACAAACAAGCGGACCCTCAAAAACAGCTTGTCTTCTTTTCTTTGGAAAGTAATTTGAGTACGTGATTGTAGTCGCTTGCAACTGCAGTGCAGTTCGTATTGGTCATCTCTTTGCCGTATGTTCGCTTTCCCCCGCCCCCCCCCCCCACCCCACCACCCCTCCCCGAGCCTCGCGAATCGTAGGATTTTGGATGGAAATTGCCAGAACAATGCGCTACGGCACCTGACCCAGCTCAGGCGCGAATGCGTTGAGTCGAAGGTCTCGTCACGAGAGTGAGTTTTCTTTGGTTCCCGTAAATTCAATGCTTCAGACATGGCCAAGTCACAAGACAACTAATGTTCTGGCGTGGTCTGTCCAGTCTTACCCTACACTGTGACCACCGTTGTTTTTCTCCCTTTTGGTCGGGTCTTCGTAGCACCCCTTGACGAAGATACTGGCATTGGTGGACATTGAAGGGACCAGAACTCATTTCATGTGGGCTGGGGGGGGGGAGGGGAGGGAGCCCAAATAACAAGCCCTCATTGAGCCCTCAATGAGGCTTTATCCAGAGGACCAACAGACATGGAAATGCTTGAGCCCCCCTGCAATGGGATTCCATTTAAAACGTTGCGCGCCTCCAAAGTCAAGCGATCCTTCCTTCGTCTTCTTCCGGTCCGCGCTGGACTCATTTTCGCACACATGACCATTGGAAATTTCATTGTGGTGCTCAGCAACATGAATTGCTCCCCAACGTGTTGAACAGGACCAGGATCTCTAAAAACGGGGTGGGCGCTGGGCCCGGGAAACCGCTTTCATGTGTCAAATAAATGCACGTCGAGTCGTTCGCCTTGGCTGTCCCGCTGTGGAGTCCATTTGGTTGTTTGTCAGTGAAAACGTGGTTCCCATCCGTCCGATTCCTTAGCCTTTTGAGTGGCTTTTTAGTCGGTTCAGCGGTAGTTTCTCCATTTCACCCACTACCAAAGATCCGGAAAAAAAGAAGAAGAAAGAAACCGGACAGCCCAGGTACCTGTCCCCAATTTCCCCCAGTTTTTGTTCGCCCAAAAACCCCCCCCTTCCCCAAATCGGTGCGTTTGGTTCAGGTACCACGTGGAGAGCGCGCTGAAGTGGAGCCCCGGACTCGGCGCCCAAATCTGCGAGCACACCATCGAGCAGGCGGCTTTCCACGAATTTCCGACGGGTTCGAAAGACCTGGGTCGATGAGAGCTTTTGACTTTGCCTTAGGCTTTTCTTTTTAACATTTAGTTACTTATTTGTTTATTACTGTGCCTAAGTTTGTATATATATATATATGTATATATATTAGTTAGTTGATTTATTCATTTATTTATTTTCCGCTGTTTGTTTTTAAAGGGAATCTATCTCTACTGGAAATACTTGTATTTTTTCCAGGGGCTTAAATGGCAGGTGCTGGTGCGAAATCGGCAGGGAATGAGAAATGGAATGAAGCCCACAAAGCCTATAACTTGTGCCTTCCTTTAAGGGAATCCCCGAACGGTTCATTTCCTCATTCCCTACTTAGCACCAAGTTTGTGGTTGTTGGGATTCGGCCCTCTACGAGAAGGAAAAGGCACATGTATTGCCGATCGTCCCCCCCCCCCCATTTGTTGGCTTCGGTTTTGATTTGGGAAAGGCGAAGGTGAACCTTTTGTGTTGAGCTCAGGTCCTGCGGGAACCTTCTAACTTGTTTGCACCATGTTCGGAGATTTTGCCAGTCGGGGGTACGAGCTGTGGCCCCACGATACTGGATGGAAGGCGCAAAAAATCACAGTTGTTTGGGGAGTATCTTGTTTTGTTGGTTCCAATTCAATTTGGTGAGGATTCGTGTATGTGTCTCCAGTGAACCCCCCCCCCACACGGCCCCAAGCAAAAAAATGCAAAGCACTCGAAAGGAACCCTAGTATTAGCTCCTGTTCACCTATTACTCGCGGGGGATGTGCCGTATTGTCTAGCTACTGCTGCTTGATTAACAGGGGGTGTCCCCTTTTAGGCAGGGTTCATCACTTTCGGAGAACAACACGCCCTACTAGTAAATATGGTTTATCAATTATCCGGGCCGCTTCCTTCCTAACCATTCATGTGCTGCTCGCTTGGCAGCGGCTGATGTTTGCTTTCTGTGTTCTAATGTTTGAGGACGTGTTGCATTTGCGTGTTGCGTGTTGTGGGTTTAGTTCATATGAGCCTGACTTACGTCGATCTCCGCCAAAAATCAATGGTAAATATATTTGAATTCGTGAGGCACGGGGTGAGGGTGGAGGGGACTGGGCGAGTTCCACATCCTTCTCATAGTCAGGGCCTCGGTGCCTGAATGTATGCTCATTCGAAGCCAACACATCCCGCAGCTTCAATGACGTTTTCCGTTTCGCCCCTTTCTCTTGTGTATCCCGGGAGCCTTGAGCTTGCCCAATTCTTATGGCATGTGTACCCAACAGGTTGCAAGTAGGGGAGCCGGTTGGAACCCTCCAATGCTCCATGGATTCTGCGTAGTCTACTTTGCATTTAGGAGTTTCAAAGTGGCAGAAAGGAGCCACGTCTCAAACTAAAGTGAGCCCTCAAAATGATTGGTTTTCCTAGGCTTCCCGTAAAAAAATGGCCCCGAAAAACCTAAAAATGATTGGTTTCTGTTGGCCTCCGGTGAAAAAAATGCCCCGAAACGCTTCCCTTCAACCAATGCCCACCCGTTTTCCGTTGCGCTGGTCTTCCTGGGGTTCAGTTCGTCACCGGCATCGCGAGGTGAAGCAACTCACCGGCATCGCGCGGGTGCTGGGGGCGGCCATCTACGTGTTTTCCAAGCGGACGGAGAACATCATCTTGCAGAAGGACTGATTTCCAGAATGAAGCCATAACGAAGGGTTTTCTCAACCCACAAACCGGGGGTTCATACCAGAGGTTCATCAAAAAGGGCATATACTTTGGTGCATTTTGCACAGACATGTTTGGACAGAATAACTTGTTTTGCCGTAATTAATGGGTTTTCCGAATTAAACCACTAAAAGTTAATCACTTTTAGCAGGGGAGCAGAAAGCAACCGAGAACTCTCTAAATCGGCGTGTCTTAAAATAGGGGGCCCCGAAAATCACGGTTTTCCTTAACCGATCCCAAACATGGTGCTCCGGAAAAAAAGACGGACCCACATGCCTTGCTGCTAAGCTCAGTAGCGAGTCGGCCGGGGCTGACCTTTTGGTCATCCTGTTTTGGCCCATATTTAGTCAAGTTCTGCAAATGGGAACCCCACATCGAAGTGGAACCCCCTGCTGGTCAACAGGGGGATGTCCCCTGTTTGTGGCTCATCGGGTATGCATACAGGGAGTGCGTGGTGCGTAGTTGTTTAATTGTCACAATTTCAGGGAGGGGTCTTTGCAGATGTCCGTGTGATTTTGACATGGTTGATCCGTTCAAAACAAGAACTGTGGATGGACTTAAAACATGCACGAGTTGAAGCCTAAGAATGGAGTAACCCCTATGCCAAAAGCAATCAACATCTGGCAGATTCAAAGAGGGAGCATACACTAAAGGCAACCCAATCTAAAAGCGAAAGGAGGCAAAGGCCGAATCTGGCGGAATCCATTTGAGCGCCCAGCTCCGTCCGGGTCCAAGAGCAGCACCTTTAGTAGGTAGTTCGACCCCTACCGAGTTTCATGAGAAAGACCCAATAAGCGTGCTGGTAGAACCTAACGTCTGAGTTTTGATCGCTGCTGATTTATCGTTGGGCCATGACTTCAGGAGAAACCGACCCACCACTGGTGGGTTTTCTTTGCTTCCCCACGGCTCGTTGCTCAACCATGCCGAGTTAGCGCTTAAGCTTTTGTTTTTATTGCATGACTCAGGGAGCCATTCCACATTCCACATTCTTGATATTGGGGGGGACATTTTCACGGTCTCCTCTCACTAGCCACAAGAAGGTTGTCAAAAACTCATCGATCAGAACAGTTCAATCAGAAGGTTCTAAGAACCGGTTGGGGGAGCAGGGGACCCGCAGGGCTTGTTCCATGAAAGGCTCGAAGCTTTTTTTCTCGCTTCGCGGAAAGACAAATTAACACCTGCTGTTTCCTGAGTATTGGTCCAGTTTTAAGCGTCAAGTTATGACCACGGTCAATCCGACGTACTTCCCGGTCTGGTTGCTCAGAAGTTGCGAACCCTTGGTGGGTTTCCCCATGTGAAATTGCCCCTGTAATCTATTTTCCTGAGGCCGGACAGGTTCCCGGAGAATGACATCCGTAAGTGTCGTCTTGAAGCCATCAGTGAAATAGTTTTGATTTTTCCCCAAAATGAACGCACTGCACGGCGTCCCAGGATTTTGAATTGACCTTGTATTCCATTCATATTCTTATGCTCGGCAGAGTTTGACATCGGTTCTTGCTGTGGGTGGGCGAGTTCCACTTCGCGCATTTTTAACTGGATAAAACACACGAATGCTGGGAGGAACCTCCAATTACCAACTGGTGCGACATGGGTTATGTCCATCCACAGTGGCAGGGACTCAAATCAGATCGCTCCTGAGGAAACCCACCTGGCGTTTCCTCTCAAACCATTTCATCTTTTAGGGTTGACTAGATATGAACCAGACATGGAGGGCCTCCCAAGGAAGCTCAGCTAAGGCCCAAACCTCTTCTTGTTCGGAGTTGGCTACATATGAAATATGTTTGTATTCTTTCCTCGGGTTTCATACTAGCTTTGAATCCCCTGGGTTTTTTCTTTTATTTTTATTTTTTTATATTTTTTTTCTCGGCTTGAGCAAAGGCATTCCGATGTTCCGTGCAATGATCTTCGGTGGCCAAGTTACGGGCCTTGCCCGTTCGACCGGACAGGAGCGAGCCCTCCGGAAGACGGAGGCGAATCGCAGCCCGGCGGGAGAAACCGACCAGACTGCGGATTGGCTCGCGGGGTCGGTGTTCGTTTTTTTGGGGTTGGTGCGCCTTTCTTTGAGGGGTTCATTTAAAGGGAAAGGGCCAAACGTCATTGGTTGGGCCCCGCATTGTGAGACACGCCCATGTGTGTTTGTGTGTGTGGGTGTTTGTTTGTTTGAGTTGGTAGCTCTGGGTTTTGAAAGGGAAACCAAGGAAACCACCTATTTGATGGGGTCCACCCATGTAAGACGCACGCACAAAGACCTGTAATATAGCAGCAAATGGCTATACAGCTTGGACAATTTGGAACGAGCTCACATATGAAGGTCTCTTACATGTGGATGCCCTTATGTTCGAGTCGTTTGGCTAGGTACATTAGTAGTTGTCTCTTTGCGACAACATGCGCTAGAGTATCATCTCTATGCGGTGGGAATATAGTGGTCGTATGCATTATTTCCTACATGAGTCTGCATGTGTGTGTGTGTGTGTGTGTGTGTGTGTGTGTGTGTGTGTGTGTGTGTGTGTGTGTGTGTGTGTGTGTGTGTGTGTGTGTGTGTGTGTGTTTGTTTCTGTTTTTTTTTTTAGGGTATCTTTTTGAGGTTGGTCTGGGAGGGAAATGAGAAGGGATGTGTTTAAGCAGCCAGGCCATGGGCAAGATGAATCGCCAGATGATGGCGTTTGTGTCTTTTGGTAGTGTCCCTGACGCCTTCACCACGACGCCTGAGGTCTTGCAATAATGGATGCTGCTTTGCACATGTTCTTTAACATGCCCCCTAAAGGACATGAAGAGGGCAAGGGCGGTGCTTCGATTCAACATGGCAAAGCTACTTCCCCAATTCAGACTCCGGACCGAGATGCGGCACAGACGCCCAGCTATCAGCGATCCATGTCAATGGACCTCCTGAAGGGCGAGATACAGTTCCTGTCGACGTCGAGGACCACGAAAGCCGCGCCTTGGTTGCAGAGTCGGCGACCAAAATATGTCAGTCGAACCACAGGCCATGGTGTTCCCCTGCAAAAGTGATGATTCCCCGCTAACACCAGGGATTGAGCAATATGGGGTCAACATTAGGGAGCCATTGAATTCACTTCTTGGAAGTAAATATAACCCGTGCAGCATTTGGAGGATATTCCGGTAGATGTGTTTGTTTGGAAAAAGCAGGAACCATTGGCTAACTCCTTAAATATAGCAAGTGAACCAATTTTGCGGCTGAAGTACGACAAACTCACTAGCCCTTGCTTGAATTAGTAAGGGGGAGGGGGGCACATTTGACGAATCCGATGTGTCGAAATGTGCCAGTGAGGAATCGACCGTGGTCAGTGACTTGGACAGTGAGTGTGGCACGATGTACGCAGACACCATCGCCACTCGGCGGAGGGCTTGTCCGTTGGAATCGGGGCATTGGCGGGACGTTGGCGCTTTTGTGCAATTGACAGGGTTTTTAACCAGGGTGTGATTTGGGCACTCGATGCTGCACGGATACAGATCCCACTGACATTTGCTCAGATGCTGGAGGTCTGCTTGAAATCCTACGCAGCTGCCTTCTCCCCTGAACCCCCGGTCGGCTTGTTCCCAAATGAGGAAACACCCCATCCGTGGCAGCAGGGTACGGAGCCCGACAACACAGAGACACCCATGTTGCCTAGGAGCGGCGCAGCCCAGGATCATGTGGCCGCATCAGCCAAAGGCTTCTCATGGTTTCCGGCTTGCACCTGAGGACAAACATGTACGTTCGCAGCCTTGAACCCACTTGTTAGAACCATTTTGGACCACCCAATGCCAAGTGTTCGGCGTGTTTGGTTTAATCAAGTTTGCTTTCTGAGCTTCCCTTGGTGGACAAGGACTGCTTGTTTGAGCCAATTCGTTTGTTTTTGTGGGTGTGCAAATTTAAGCAAGTTTTTCGAGCCATGTTGAAAAACTCGATACGCAGCCCCAGGTGTCACTTACGCAGGATTCCCCCTGTAGTGAAGGAAGCCCTCACAAAAAAAAGCAGCGGAAGGTTTTTGATCCAGGGCCAGCACTAAACAGTTCGAGACAGGAATTCTGGCGGGATTTGATTATTGAATCTGCCTAGTCATGAACCACCCCGGATGCCTGGCGCAGTCATTCAGTCATAGGCACCCATATACGCAGAACATGTCGTGGGAGCTGGGGTTGACGCCCACGCATTTTGTCCAAGGTGAATCGACCTTTTGGTTTGCCCTTTGTGTGCCACTTGTTAAGGTCCCAAAAGGTGAATGGAACCCCGAATGAATAAACCCCTGAGTAGGGGGGTTCCCCCTTAATGCCCTTCTATTCATAAAACCGGTTGATTAATCCGGGGTGAACATGCACAGTTCATTTCCTGGTCCTGGCCGAGGGGCCGGATGCGCGCCCGGCCAAATGGGTGTTTGAGTGCCAAGCCAGGCACGCCCGCAGGGAGCCGATTAGCTCAGGTGCGCAGGCAACAAAAAACCAGCGTGGCAAAACAAGATGAGATGTTTAGCGGCTTCCTAGGGCAAGTTTGGAACAGCTCCGGGTGTCAGCTTTGCGACATTGGGGGATTACGACAAGGGCTGTTCTTATTTTTCGGGCTTAGCCTTTGACATGGTCAAGAAGGCAGTCAGTTTGGACAACTTGACACAGCCACATGCAGACCGGGATGTTGCTCACCCGAACAGCAGACTGACTACCACCCCAACGAATTGCACGCACGAGCGCCACGCACGTTAGTCGGGCGGGCGAGAATTCATGCTCCACATGCGCAGAATCATTCTTTGGCCAAGGTGACTTGGGACGGGCCATCCAATGACGTTGGCAACATGCAGGAGATCAACGACGTGTTTGCCTTAAAAGGTGAGGATGAGCAGAGGCAGGTGGGGGTTTCCGGGGGCCTGAAGGGCTTTTTTTTGCTTCTGGGCCTGGTAACGCGCAGCTCGGAGCTCCAATCTGAGCGCTCCGAGACCTGTCCAAGCATTGAACCTTCGCTGAGGTGAAGACGAGAACTGATCGAGGGCGTGCTTACCCTTTTGCGGGGTGGGTCCTGGGTGACGAGCTTCCTTCCAAGGAAGAGAAATTGCCGACTGCTTGGTGCTTGTCGGGCCGAAGTGAATGGCGATTTTCCCATGGCAAGGGAACCTCTGGTTGAGTAAAGGGGTGCCCATGTCCAAGGGATCCTGCACTTTTGTGAGGAAGCTCCCCTTTCCCCATGAATCCGGGGTTGGGGGTTGAAGCCGCTTATAATCTGCTTGTGTGTGGGGGGACAAAGGAAGCTTATCAATGGTGTTGGGGACCGCCCGCGCCCCACCGCAAAAATGCCGGGGGGGGGGGGGGGGGGGGGGGGGGTGGGCATGAGTTGATGGCGGACTCCCTTTCCAGGATTACACTTGCGCAACTTGATGTTTGTGTTCTGGAATCGTTTAATTTAGTTTCTATCCTGCTTGATACCTCTAAATTACGGAACAATGACACCGAGGTCAACATTCTCAGCCTCGGAGTTCCTGAACATTTCATACTTTTGCATCGACCGGCCGAGCGGTAAGCAACAAGACTTGCCAGGCAAATCCTCGCAGGAAAGGCGGTTTCAAGGAAAACCACCGATAACTTGCCACTATTGACTATTGAAGGGGAAATCCAGGGGACCACCCCTCGTCCAAAAGAGCCGCAGGCGATGGTTCTACTCACAGTGCCTCTCAGCCAAGATGGCCACCAACGACCCGATCCGGGCACGGAAAGTATCTCAGTCCAAATCCGAGCTGTATGACCTTTTGGTTTTCCAATTTTGGTCCATGTTTCGTCAAAGTTCCGAAAGGTGACGTACGTTTTATGTCCATTCCCTTTGGGCAAGCGAGGTATTGATTTCAGACCTCTACAGCCAGGCAGACTGGCAGCGGGGGTCCTGCGGCGCAAGCAGCTCCGTCGCCTGTTTTTGTTGATGTTTTTGGGCCCAAGCAGGCATGGGGCTAAAAAAGCAGGGTCCCCTGAGAATATTGCCACGGCTGCAAGCTAAATCAGCAGACATTCTTGTTATTATCAGCACTATTGAGGCTAACAGCCGTTTAGAACACTGTTGTGCAAGTTTCCGCGGCACCCTTGAAACAGCCTTTAACGAGATAGGAGCGCTACTTCGGCGTCACAAGGGGCAACCATTTTCCGCAACCACGGGAAGCATACATGGTGGTGAAGCGCAGTGGTATGCCGCCATACATGTTCGTAGCCGAATCTACCGGATGCATGTTGAGAACCACTTGTGGGTTTTCCATTAGAATTCATGGCTAGATGCATTGCACTGCCAATTCCGCGGTGGGGTTTGTGGCCCTCCCTTTTGGTTTGCCCCATTGGATTTGTGTCTTGCTTGCGCGAGTAGCTCGAGGTAGCTGTCCTGTTGCCTTTGTGTGCGTCTTGATTCCTCTCTTTGCGTTTGTGCTTTGAAGTGATTTGTGGTTCGGATAGGTTTTTTTTTTTGGTGTGTGTGTGTGTATGTGCATGGTGTTTGTCTTGTTGTGGGGGGGAGGGGGGAGTTTGCACCTGAGGGACATTGAGATGCACCGCCCACGCTCCAAGCGGCGGGCGTGGAAGCCACCGTGGGTTATTGCCAGCTTTGCAACTAGGTAACCCAGTAGTGCCCGTTTACCTTTTTTTGGGGAAGGGTTCCCCTACTCAAATAGATTACAGAAAAAAGGGTACCCTTGTTCTAGCCGCTCTGCTGGAGGACCTAGGCAAGGATATGTTACATGGCTTTACCGAGCTTTGGTTCTACCAAGGCATCTTGTGTGCATGCAATGAGGTTTGTCTTGCGGTTAGCATGTTGCAAAGAGTCAAGGCTCGAAGTGCAGGTTTATGGTGTGTGACCCTTGCCCAAACATTGTGGGGATCCCGGCCAGTACCATCCTTTGTGTTTTTGATCGTCTTCCATGCTGATTAGTTCGGGGGAGCGATGTTAATTAATTCGGGGGAGCGTGAACACAGAACTCAAGCTGAGGGGCAGGGGCAGTTGCGGTTCGGAAGTCACACCTGACAGGTGAAGGCATCGAAGATCCCGACCAACAAGTGGGCGAGCTTCATTCAAGAGCAGCTCATGGCGCCTGGCCACAAAGACGGGGGATAGTCCTTCCCCCTATTAATAAAGGTCTCCCTATTAAGGGGAGGGGGGGACCGTCTTTTATTATTAGGGGGAGGGGATCAGAACTCTTTCTATGCGGCTGAGGCACCGCGTAGGTAATTCTGGTATGCGATCGAGCAGGCAGTCCGTGTAGGCAGCTTCGTGACATATTTTGCCTTTGCAAACGAGCGCCTGCCCGTGCGGCGGCTCGAGCAGGTGCCTTCTATGGCTTTACACACCCGCGGCTTTGCGAGTGTAGGGCGGGTACACTCAACAAACTAGAGGGGTGGGTGGGTTTGTCTTTGGACACCACATTTCCGCTAAAAAGCTACCGCACCTGAATGGCCATTTTGTGGAACCACATGTTAGTGGTAAACCAGAAGCTCAGACTTCCACTCAAGAAGTGAGTTTGCTGTGTTTTCCAGGTCCCAAAAAAATGACGCTCAGGTGGGCAGAGTGGTGCCCAGCGGTCTTGGCCGCTGAGCCGAGCCGGAGTTTAGATGCGCCGAAAATTTCCGCAGCCTGTAAAAGGAAGGAGGGGGGCGGGGGTAAGCAAGAACTTTGCAGTCCCCAGCCCGACATCGTATTGAGGCAGAGGGGTGGACCCTTAAAATGTCATTTCGAGCGCCACCCGCACCCCCTCCCAGGAGGAAAGGATGCCATAGCCATTTGTTGGCCCGTTACTGTGCGTAGGACCCGAGCGGCCGGGCATGAGACTGGAACTCGAAGATGCCGCTGGCTTGTCAAGACGGGTTGGCCTTGTCCAACCCGAACAGGTGGCGACCTAACTAAGCCCTAAGTCGTGCCCCTTTACCCTTTTTTGGGTTCCCTACTAAAAATAGGCTACAGAAAACAAAGGGTACCCTTATTCTAACCTCTCCACTGGACCCAGAAGCCATAACAGCACTTACATCCAGGCGAAAGTAGCCAACTCGGTGTGTCCTTTTCAGGTTTTTGAGTCCGTTTGATTCTTCGGGGCTGCAAAATCTTCCCTCGTTGCAGGGATGTGTCTTTCCCCACGCATGTCCATGCCCTGGTGTCAGTAGCTCCGCATTGACCATGTAAATCTTCAGCTCGAACATTTGCTCCACGGAGTTCAAGGGTCAAGTTTCTTATTCGTGACTGCTATTGGTTTGGATCTTTAGACTTTAACTTTTTGGGAAGCAAAGGTGTTTTCCACTAAGCCCCCAAAAGTTAAACTTGTTGCAGGGGGGTCAAGAGCAACCAAGGTGTGTTCTTGTTTTTGGTTAGCCTGTGCAGCGCGCTTGCGTGCGACCGTCCAAGAGCGTGCGAGCGTGTGTGCGGGTGTTGTTTGTTTGTTTGTTTGTTTGTTTGTTTGTTTGTTTGTTTGTTTGTTTGTTTGTTTGTTTGTTTGACGCACGCACGCGCACATACACACAGACACCACACGACACCACTCTGCACACAAGCGTCGTAGAGATCCTTCATTTTCTAGACAATTCTTTGTTCTTTCCCCTGTTGGTTTTACAGGGGGTCTATGACTGCTGGAAATGTGTTGTACTTGTTCCTGGGGACGTATGCGCAAATGGATGGGATGTCAAAGGATAACGGCTCTCCCAAAAGCCCACTGACTTTGCCAAGACTGTTCCAGGGAATGGGTTCCCCATGTGCGCGGGTGTTGACAAGCTTGCGAAGAAGCAGCCACTTCGTGGATTGGCACCCAAAAGAAGTTGCTCCTTTGTAGTGAGTTCTTGTGTAGGCCTTGAGATCTTGGAAGGGCCTTGGCAACAGCCTGGGACAGGGGAGGTGGTGCTTGCTGCAACCGCAGTGTTCCTAGTTGAAACTTCCAGACCACATGAAGCCATCCCAGCTGGTGGAAGGGAGCCGGACTTGGAGCTGGGGGTATCCCTTCTTTTGAATAGGGAGCTAAGAAAACACAAGGAGTCTGTAAGAACATGGTAGCATCAAGCCAGCAGTTTCTGCCCTCATGCCCGGAAGGCGTTTGCGCCGAGCTCGGCCCATCGTGTTTTCTTGAGCGCCTCTTGTAGCCACAAGGGAGGCCAGCCCTCGTGGAGTGACAAACTATGTTGAGCTCACCTTGGGGTAAAGCGAGCGAAAACGCATGATGTAGGTTCGTGGGGATCTCTCATTTCAGGTTGTTTTGTTAATCATTGTTTACTCGCTAGGATCCCTTTTGAAGTTTTATGTGCAGATTCTACGGTACCTAAATGTAGCTTAGGAGTAACGAACTCAATATTGGCTGCGTTTTCCATTTTAGTATGAGGCCATCACTTTCGAGGGCATTCGATGAACCGAATCAATGCGAAGAGCTGTAAGGCAGAGGTTTGCGATTGCGATGCGAGGCATAAGAGAGAAGGATAAAATGGAATGACCATTGTTTCATCGGTTTGCTTCACTCAGTCTTTTCCGCGAAGTAATGTCAGAAGATGAAGACGATGGGCATTTATGTTTGGTTAGTTCACAGGGACATCCGGAGGGAAAAAACACCATCCGGTGGAGACAGACCACGATAAATCCTGCTGGGCTGGATCTATAGGGTCGCGTGTCAAGCCGCAAGAGGTTTGCTCAAGAGCCGTGCTGAAACTCAGCCGCGGAATTCAGATCGGAATCACTTTGCTGGGTCTGGGCCCAAGAGTGTCAATCATGCCACGCACCCCGGGCCCCAGGGCGTACCTCTGGGCTTCATACCAGGTATTGGGCTTTATACAACCTACAGGGATTTGTCTCATGAAGAACTGGTGGTGGTTGGATAGTGCAACAAGCAATAACCCCGCCATCTGGAGAGCTAGATTAAAAAAGAAGCGGAACAGCGACGTGTTTGCTACTGTTGGGAGCCGGTAGTACGCCCGTTGAGTTGACCGGGGTTCGTGACAAAATGTGACGCCTCGGCGTATGTTTGGCGCCGGGTGCTGCTTGAAGTTGTTTGGTGCCTTCCAGCTGGGTGTGAAATGCCGCATGCTGTGGACGGAATTCATTTCGCACCCCCCAAGAAACCCGCGGGAATGATATTTGATTTTTCGGGAAGTACCAACCAGCAGTGGTTTTGCATGGTTTCAAAAGCGGTGAAGGATTGCGTCCTTTTGGGGGGGTTTCCCCTAAAGGACGCAACAATTGGATGAAGAAATTCATTTCTTCCAACCCATTGCACCCAGCCAGCTTTTGTAACTTAGATTGGCACCGGCCCAGCCCTGCACCGTAGCCCACTTCGGAGCGTCGAAAAATGCCACGCTGCTACCGAATAGAAACCTGGGGTCTCCAAATATGAAGCAGTACGGACAAACCCCTTATCAACTGAGCAGCATGTGGGAAGCAAAGAAAATCAAGCTGTTTTCGTCTCGAAGTTCCTTGGGGCAGTTTGTGACCCTAAGATTGAACAGCAAAAGCAGCTCTTTCGAGCAGTCCCGGGTTTTGTTGGGCCGTGGCTCAGAGATGCAGATGTGCGGCACTCGACAAGCGCCCATCTCTTGAGCGCAGTCTGTGTGCCGGCGAGTCCCCGGCTACGCGTCGAACTTTGAACGATCTCTGTTAATGTTCCTCAATTGCCCAAGGCGAATCGACCTAAAATTGCCTTTTAGCTTCTGTTCGGGTTCCCATTTCTAGTGACCCCGAAGGTGATCATCTCTTTTTCCGGAGTCCTTCGGGCAACTGAGGTTTCCGCACCCTGGAACCTGGCCTCAAATTCACTTGATGTATTAGGCTCAAGCTCGCAAACCCGCGCCGCAAAGCGTGTCAAAACCCATTGGGGGTCCATTTCTTATTTCAGGGTTAGGATGGAATGCCAGAACTGATTGAAGTGTTGAAGGAGGTGCGCAGTTCCCGGGTGGGGGGTGTCACTGCGAGGTTTCTGATTTCCTCGGATGCTTAGCTAACGGCTCAGCGCTGATAGGATGCCGCAGCTGAAGAAAAGAGAGAAGCTCATGAGCATGTCGATCCTTGGACCAGCTTCGTGCTTGCGCGCCAGGGTTTCAGTATTGGCGCTTGCAGGAATCGTGCACCTGTAAGAATTGCGAATTTACATGCGTCTCCTTTCGCCACCCCCGTGGAAGGGTGCAGGCAACCCACGGGGCTGTGGGTGAATTTGGCATTGCCAAAACTTACTCTCAGAGTCCGCGTGCTTAGTTTAACATTGCAATGTCTAAGTGTACTACTGGCTTGATCTCAGATTCGCAGTTCTTGATTTAGTTGCCAATCGTAAATTTAGTATTGCCAAGGCTTACTCCCAATGATTCGTGCTGAGTTTAGCATTGCCAATTCTAGATTTAGCATTGCCAAGACCTGATCTCAGATTCCCAGTACTTGATTGTGTATTGCCGAGTCTAAGTTGTGTAATGCCAAGACTTACTCTCAGATCAGCTCTCAGATGCACCGTCATTTACATGGTTGTTATTGGGAAACATTTTTCACTTTTGCTTATTGCGGTTTAGTGGAAATTCCCCACAACTGCTAAACTTTGATTTGTTGCCTTCCAACGTCAACCAAGTTTAAAAGTTAAGGCTAAGACTTTGATCTTGGAATTTCACCACCCGCCCAGCACAAGCTTGACATTGATGCAAACGTCAAAACAGTCAGATTGGACAGAAGGGTGTTTTCTAGGGTGACTGGTTGGGCTCTTTTGTTCTCAAACGTGTTTATCTAAAACTCGCTTTTTGGGGGACCGCTTCACAAACAGGAAACCTAAGCAACGCCAGCGGGAGGGCATAAACAAATCAAAATTTAAAAGTCAAAGGTTAGGGCATGACCTGGTATTGTTGTTTGTGTTCGCCCCGATGCGTTCAGTTTACCCGCGGTTCTGGGGGAACCACCCCAAACTTCGGGCAGAGAGTGCCCTCAAAGGGGCCCCGTAAACACAAACAGTTGCCCCAAGTCCGTGGAGGGTTTAACAGGAGCCTCAGGGTTCTTCACGTGAGGAAGCTCGTACCAAGTCTGCTTGGGCTTGTCGAACTTGTTGAGCCCAATTTGGCGTCCAGCTTTTCTGGCTTCATGCGGCCATGAAACACGACTGGCCAGTTTCTCACTTCCTGAGTTCATGGACTTGATTTACTCTCTCTTTTTTTGGAAGCAGTTTTAGCGGCAACTCAGGAAGTGAGGTGCCCACATTGCTAAGGCTGGGTTCCTACGAGCTTGGACAGGCGAGGGGGAGCCGGGGTGGATCCGCATGGCTCGTCCTGTGGGCACTGCAGATGCTTGTTGGCCTGGTCCTGCTAGAGGCGAACTAGGTTTGGGTTTGGGGTCTGCTTCCCCCAAGCGAAGGGTCGCCTTGATGAGGGGGTCAAGCTCTTTCGTCAACCAGGACTTGCTTCAACCTGCAAATTTGATATTTGTCTCAAAACAGGGGGACCCAATTCTGGTGGTTCTTGTTCTGAACTTCCCTTTTCAGCCAACCAGAAAAGGGCCTCAAGAAAACCCACACACGGATTAGTCAACTGCCGCTCATTCGCTTAGGCCACAGAAAGTGACAGGGCGAAGTCTTGCTTCTTCCTCCATGTGTACAGTGCCCTTTTGCGGATCCTGAATTCACGTGCTTGAAACACAGTGGCACTTGCAGATACCATGCAAGTTAGGAAGGCCTGATTTTTTGTTGGACCTCGGGAAGGAACGCAAGCAGCTGAAGCCAGGGCTTCTCATTTTTGGAGTGACCCCAGTCCCCAAGGGAGCGGGACGGGACCCTTCCACCACGCGGGCCACCAGCTCCAGGTGCCCCGAGGGTCTCCTAGTTCTGTCTTGTGAGGGAACTTTCTTGGGATGCTGTCAACGGGACACTAAAAGGAAACCATTCAAAAGGAAACCAAAGGGAAATCAAAGGAAAACCAACGGGAAACCAAAGGGAAACCAAAGGGAAATCAAAAGGGAAAAGGAAGGGACGCCACTGGATTGGGGGGTTCCCCACATGAGCTACCCTTTCTAGCGGGTCCCATTTTTTCTCATGGCTGGAGGTCGTTGCCTGCGCCTTCAACAGCTGCGTAAGCAACAGGAGTTGTTGTCTTAAGGAAGCCGCAAGCATGTTAAAGAGTAACAGCACTACAGGTTAGTACAACTATGGCTGTGGCTCAAAACACCGGTACCAAAATGGAACCCTGGCAAGTGGAAACATGGACCAAACCCTGCGTACCCCCTGGTGAATTTTGACCCACAGCCCTTTCCAAGCAACCCCTCTCCAAAGTAAATTCTATGCAGTTGACTCTTTCGCATGTGGGATGGACATGCGTCGCAGGAGTACCTGGCCCGCGCCAACGTGCCCTCCAAGCTGGAAGCGGATTTGGCAGATCCCTACTGCCCGGCGGCCTGGGCCCGGCGGGGGCCGGCAGAAAGTTTCACCTTTGAGTCAGGGGTCGGTTCCTATATTTCCCCATACCCCTTCCTTAAAATTGTATTGATGGGTGGGGAGTACGTCACCTTTTGGTGGTTTTAAAACATCACCTTTTTGGCCCATGAAAGGTGAGTGAACAAATATTTCCCCCCTTAGTGGGGGGGGGATGTTTTAAGGGGAGCAATAGGGAGCCCTGAGTCACGTGCTCAAAACCGATTCGGGCACTGAGAGGGTCAGGGACAATCTCCTTGCCATATATGATTTGAGCGGAGATCTGCTTGGCAATTCTTGAAGCATGGTTCGGGTAAGCCATTTTAATACCGGGTGATGATTGTGACTCATTGGACTTTAGTCACGTTTTGGGTGCCTCCTAGAATGGGAAACCTCCAAAGCACATTTGTCATGGGCGGCATCGTTTTACATGTTTGACAATTCTGCCCCCTATCAGCGTCCCCTACCATCCTGCAGGTCACATCGTGCCCCAACACCTTACTTGCCATGTATCGAGGAATCGTTTTTGGAGGACTTTCTTTTTCGTTTTGTTCCTCCTTTTGCTTTTTGCAGAAACTCAATTCCACGTGGGATTTGCGGAAAAACACTTTCGTTTGCCACTAACATGCTCTTTCCAAACCGCCTAAAGTCCGAAACGGAACTCAGGAAGTGAGTGGTCCTGACCAACATCCATATGTGAAAGCAGTCAGATGAAGATGGTTTCCCAAACCGCCCCTCGGGGGGAAGCATAATAAATCCCCATTATACAGTGACGACGTAGTGGCGGTGTATCCCACTATTCATCGGGGATAGTGGAAACCATCTCAAAATAAAGCCCCGTTAATCATGCATTTGTGGGGCCCTGGGGTGTGCCCGTGATTGGGAGTGAAGATGGCACCACAGTTTTGTTTTTGGGATCCGTTGGCTGTCACAGTGCGCACTGACGATGCGGGCCAAGATAATGGCGCTGGTTCTTGCCTGATGCTTCTGGATACGACATGACATTACCTGGCGGTGTGCGTGCCAGATGGCGCTACCATGTTGAGCCAGGGCAAGATTAATTTGCTCTTGCCAAGCCGCGGGCGAAAACCGAGACAAGCCTCTTGCCCGCCCAGCACAACCGCACAACCTCTAGACTGCAGCTGAGCGCGTCCTCAGGTTCTTCACGCATATCCGTGAATTGTCGAATCGGCTCTGGGTGAGTCAACAGTTTTGTCGGTTGATGGGTATTGGTTTTGGGTGAGTGGTTTCTGCTGGTGGTATTGTTTGTTGCTGGAATTGATGTAGTTGCATTGGTTTCCGTGAAGGGGAGCCAAGTTGTGGATGGACGGAACCCTACCCAAAACATGGGATGGATGAAGCCTCATGAAAACCCGGAACAAAATCGGATGAATCGCCTACCAACTGGTCCGAAATCGTTTCGTCTATCACAGGGAAGAGTTTGAAGTTGAATCGTCTTTTGGTTATAGTGTAGGCACCGGGTGTAGGTAATCTCCCCGCACGGGGAACTCGAATAATAAAGATTACCAAGCCATATCATGCCCAACCACCACGAATGATTTTGCGATTGATTTATGCATTCAGTTTTGCAAGTAGGGAATGCAGCAACCCATGTTACCCATCATGCGAGCTGTTTTCCGTTCACGTGCAATGCTATTGGGAAACCAGCCATGCATCGCTCTAGGATGAAAGTAGTTCTCAAGAACGAAAACTGACTCATGTCATGCATGCCCAGTACCTCACTCCCTCAACCACTCTAAACTTTTTGGGTTTGGGCCATTTTATCGGAAAAAAACAACAGGTTTATGCGTGGTCTGGCCAATCCACTTGATCGGAAGTGAGATAAATGGGCTTTGTGGTGTGACCATGGGAAAAACGTTTTGCTGTCCCCCCCCAAAATGGGTTCCCCATCCCCATGGCTTCTTGACTACTTTCAAGGGCCTTGGTGCCAACAGGGGTGTCTTAAATCCCGTTTCCCAGCGCCGTGGGTTCTTTGCGGGAAATCTGTGAACCTACTGCGGATGGATGAAATCTAGTACAGCACCACCTAAGACATGGTTGAGACCAGAACGTTCGTTGGTATTTACAGGGGAGTCATCAGACACTGGGGCTTCTTGGGTGGTGCGAAATGCATTTCGCAACCATCCAAAGTAAGTTTAGCCACATGATTTGCTTGCTGAGGCGATGACTCTGTACGTTTGTGCGTCACCCGGCTGCTAGGCTTCGTGGCAGGCGGGGCGTTGCACTGGATTCGCGGGTGAGTTGGTGCGATAGGTAGGGAGTGACCGTTTGGGGATCCCCTTCAAGGAAACCACCAGTTGGATGTTGTTTCTCGGAGTCCTCTATTTTTTCGGAGAACAAGCAGGTAATAAACGCTCTTTTTATTAATCAGGGGGATCCCCCTGAAAGAAAGGATTCCCCACTCAAGTTAAAGAGGGACCCTCTTGAATAGAAAGTGGGGAGTTATTAATCAGGGTCAGCATTATAAACTTATGAACTGCGCTTGAGGCTTTGTGTGGGCATGTTCCTTCATCACTTTCGACCAAGCCCTTCGGTAGTGTTGCCTCTTTCTGGCCAGTCAATTGAGCAAGTTTAACCAGGTCACTGATGCAATTTAACTGACCACATCCAACCACAAGGCTCCCAGATTTTCCAGCCAAACTACGGATACCGCAAGGAACCCATTTCTGAGAACCGCTTCAACCTTTGCAAATTCCTAAGCCTCCCCGAATTTCGCAGAACCCACGTCTTCGTTTTCCCTTTTGGAACCCCCACCTAAACAACGCGAATCCACCTGTCACTTTTCTTCCCCAGAATTAGCTCCCCTTTTTTCTTTTGCTTTGTTGGGCTCCCCTTTGTTTGCCACTCAGGCCAAAACAAAAGTAAGCCGAGGTGTGTTTTTTTTTGCCGGGGCCCGATTTTTCCACCAGCCACTCGTCTATGACGGACTGCTGCTTTCCCCAAGCCCCGGGACTCCCAGGGTTCGAAGCTGAGGAGTCAAAACCCCGGGGGGGGTGCTCCCTCCAAAAGTGGTGATGCCTTTCGCTGCTACCCACACAAGGAAGTGAGGACACCTGTCCAATCAAAACCAACCAGAAGTTCTGCTTAATCCGGGCGTTCTGCTTAATTGAGGGGGTTCTGCTTATTCTAGGGGTTGATGCCATTTCCATTCTTCGCAACCATGGTTCTTTCCAAAAACCGGATCTGTTTCCCCTGGGTTTTTGATGCTTTCCTGAAAAGATTCGGATCCCTGGAAAGAATGGAAATGGAAGTGTCCCCTAGAGTCTTGAAACAAGCCACACCCCATCCCTCAAACTTGGAACCACCAAAAACGGGTACTTTTCGGTTCGCTGTAGGAAGGTTCGAAGTGTCCCCTAGAATTATGTGGTTGAACTCAGGGGACGCGAGGCCCATGCCCCACGGTCCGTTCCCGGGCCTTCCGCTGGTCAGCTCGTCAGCTTGTGAGGCCGCAGCGCGGCAGTGGCGGAGCACCTCCTGCGGAGCCACGAGGTAGGAGTGGAAGGAGTGGCCCCATGATTGTTGGAGGCCCCTCAGACATGTTTGTGTTCTCTTCCATTGGCTGAAATGGTTATTTTTTGTTCTTGATTGGCACCTGTTAGTTTAAAGGGACTATCGCAAAGTTGTGAAATTGCCCAGAAACTTTAAGCAAATGAAGGTTTTTTTGTGTGTTTAGTTGTCATGTGTTGGCGCGCCGCCTCATGTTTCATTGTCGTATTTGTTTTGTAGTTTGTCGGTGGCTTCTGTGGAAGTGCAAAGGCTTTCCTTTTGGATGCCTGGAAATGTTGCGGAGGGCCGACCTGAAACTGCTTGTTTTCCTTGTGCCACAAAATGAGGATGTACCCTCAAGCTGTTTTTCTTCCTTATGGCTTCCCTTTGAAAGGATTGGCCGCTCGAGGACTGAAGTGAGCCAGCAACAGCGGGTTAGTTTGCGGCTTTCACCGCATGGCTTTCAACCTGTTCCTCTTCTTGCTTCGAATTCGTATTTGATGGATCCACGGTATGGTTCAGCCCTGACAAGGCAACTGCATACTGAAAGCCGCACGTGCAGCATATGGAAGGGATCAACCCTATGGCACGGGCAAAATAAAAAGAATGGTGCCCAAAGCGATGCCATCTGCTGTCCTTTTGGCAACCTTATGCCATCTGAAGTCCTAGGAGCCCCAAGATGTAAGACCCTATCTAAGGCCTTGGGGCAAGTGATCCCTAGGGGGCCAAGAAATGGTCTGCCAACGGCCCTGCGTTTTGTTGTTCGCCGCGGCCAGGGGTCGCCGTGTCCTAGCCAATGGTTTTTGTCTTTCTATGGGTGGGAGGGTTCCGCGAAAGTTCCGGGCTGCTTACCTGGAGCTTGGACTTTGACATGCGATTTGTTGCCGGTGCTTCTCAAACTAGGACCCTTAAAACTGTTGATTTTCTTGTGGTTATTCAGTGGTTTCTGCATCCAAGCACATTGGCTTTATTTGGGTGCGTCTCAGAATGGGATCCCTGAACAAGTTGGTTTCGTTGTGGTTTCCTTTCAATAGCAACCAAGAGGACGTTTTGACAAACTCCCATGGGCTGGGTCAAAGGAAGCCTTCACTTGCTTTTCATGGGGTGTTTTGCTGCAGGGGATGCTCCTTGGGCATATTGCTAAGGCTTTCAACATAATTCTTGCATGGTGATCAGCCGGTTCGCCCAAACGCAGATTGTCATGCTGCTTCACGGATGCCATCAGGGCGTTGATGCGCACGGCGAAGAGCGGTAAGGTTACCATCCCCTTCCATGCAGGAGTGACCCCACAGCCCATGAGGCAACATGGGAGAAATCAGCTCGTTCTAAAACTGGACATCTAACCTTTCCAGAGGACCCTTTATTTACATGTTTGTTTCTTTTTCAGCCTTCGGGGTTGGAACGTCATTTTTGGGTCATTCAAAGTGAGATCGCTCTTGGTGATTGAGGGACATCAACTCTGTAGTATCTTGCCTGATTTGGTGAGGCCAAGTCTTCCTTTCCGGTGCCGCTCAAGTTTCAGCTTGATTCATTGGAGGGACGCCGCCTTGTAGTTTTGAGCCCCTTGTTGCTCCGGCATCAACAGACAGATCCAAGAGCAACACATTAACAGGTGGCTGCGGTGGAGCGACTGGTTTCTTTTTGGTTCTACCCATTCATGTCAAACCAGTCCCCTGCAACATCTTTCCCAGGCTCCGTTCCCCCAATCTATCGCTGGCCTGATCGACAGCCCGGGGGCTCAGCAAGTCGGATGGGACTTCCACTTGCTCAAAAATAGTCCCTTGTTGGTTTTCACCTTTTGGGCCCCCGTAAGGCAAGTTTCCTCCTGTAGGGGTTATACTTGAAGCGGAACACTATCACTTTTCTCCAAGATTGGATGTTGGTTGAGGTTTGTTTGCGGCCCCTTCTCAGGAGCCAATGGAGCAGGTTTCCCTAAAGGTTGTTGCAGTGCCCATACAAACCTGTGCAAGCGTGTTGGAACACCTTTGTCACCAGCTGATTTAGAGGATTCCTTGAACAGCAGGCAGCTTTGGAATGTTTTGTTGAGGGCACCCTCAGTTTATTGATGGACAACGAGGTCTTTTGTTGATCCTTCTCCTTCTCCTTCCTCGGGCTGGTGTTGCGCCTCCGCCTGGGAGGAGAGGAATGGGATTGATTAGGGAGCAGAGCTAAGTTTGGCAGATTGCGTTGGTTTGGGCATGGGTGGGTTTTTGTTTGTTGTATTTACAAGGAAGTCATCATTCCATGGTTTCTTAGGTGGTGCGAAATGGATTTTGCAGCCATCCGCAGGTGCCGATCTTCTCTGACCATGGCTCAAAGTTAAGCCACCAGAGGACTGCAGGTTTTAGTACATGTGTCCATTTACCAGGGTTCCTCTTTGGGTCCGTGGGTCATTTATTGAGGGCTTTTCTGTCAGGCCGCGATCCGGCGGCCCGGCTTTGCGCCATCCACGCCTGGGCCGCTCGCCGATTTGTTTCGATCGAGGTCGAGAGCGGCGCAACCGTGGGTGTTTGGTGTCATGAAATGCTCGCTGCCCCCAGTTTTTGGACTTCATGTTGTTTTGTGGTGTTGTTGTTTTTGTTGGGGGGGGGGGGGCGGAGAGGAAGGCCTCCCCTTTGCTTGTCCTTCAAACGATGTTGACTTGCTTTGTGCATGTCCCCGGAGAGGGGGAGCAGGCGGGGTCTCATCGGGGGGGCCTTATGACTTTTGGAAAGCTCGGCGTCGGGAGGCGGGAGGGCGGGTGCCGTTGATTCAATATGCTGGCTCTTTCGAGGTGAGCCACAAGACGACCTCACATGGGCCAGTCAGGAAGTCATCGCTGATGTGTTGATGGGTTGCGCAAAAGGGGCTGCGGCGAAAATCGGTTCAACTTGGAACAACATTGAAGAACCACCGGATGCAACCAGGTTCCGTGGCTGGCATCAGTGATGGTCTCGCGAGCCTATGTGCTTATGATCCAGCCTGTTGCTCCCAGAAGTGGTTCAATGATTTCCCCACCTTAAAGCAAAGTAAATACTCGTACCCAGCTCAAGTAGCCACCGCTGAGCCGCATCCAAGTACCCTAGCCAAGCCGTAACCCCACAACAGACTGAAAGCTGTGGTCCGAAGTAAGCCCGACGCTGATCGTTAAGTACCCTGCTCAACGAACAACCTGACAGCCGATCAAATCAGTACGCTGATTGCGTTGTAAGCCCTTGTGATGAACTTAGCCAAGCACCAGCTCAAGTAGGAACCATGTGGCCATCCAACCCAGTACCCATCAGTACCCTGTTTTTCCTACTTCCAACAATCATGAAAGCTGACAGCAGGGATTGGGGAGGACAACTGTGCTCTTAAAACGGCATCCTGCCCACTTCCCGAGCCGTAACCCCGCGCATGAGAGGCATAGCATCCCCACGTATTGACCCCATCGCTGATCCGACAAGTACCCTGATTAAGCAGCTGGCAAGTTCATCACCTGTTCAAGTGGAACCGCCAAGAGCCAACATCTAAGATGTTGAATGATCACGAAGTAAGGTCATGGCTGTCTCATTGAGCATGGCAAGTACAAGAACCACGGCTGATCAAGTGCGCACCCTGATGAAGCGAGCATTCAAACACGCAGCAATCCCACAATGACTGGTCAAGTAAGTGCTCGGCTGAAGTGACAACCCAACGGGCAGTAAAGAAAGACTTCTCCAGTAGGAGCCGCATGCCTGATCCAGCATTTACCCCTTGGCCATGGTTGACAACCAACACATCTGAGTGGCAATCCCGCGGCTCACCAAACAAGTGAGCTCTATCCAAATAGTGACCTCGCATACGACGCCTGGGCGCCAGCGCAGTACCGCTGGATTGGGCAGTTTCTAGTTTGATACCTGCGCAAGGCTTGGCCAGAGGCCCTTGCCCCATCTCTCTCGTATGATTGGCCTGGCTTAGGAGACCAGTTGATGGGAGGTGCCGCTTCACTCCAAAGCAAACACTAGTTGGTACTGTGGATGGACAAGCAGCACTTTAAAACCATGGAAAGCCATTGTTGGTTGGCATTTACAGAATCATCATTCCAGGTTTCTTAGGTGGTGCAGGATTTCGTCCATGCACACTGAATGTTCCACAGCCCCCCCAAGGCCCCACCCCTGAGCCTAACCCACCAGACCCTTGCGCAAAGATCGCGCGCTCGACGGTGACTCGCCAGGCAACCAGCTGCCTTCAGATGAAGGGCCTCACCTTCATGCTTGGGCCGTCACCTCGGGGTTTTGTGGAGGTAGGACCTTTATGACTGAAATGAAAAAAGCACGCCCTGAACCAACAAAAGGCGTTCTTTTCGAGCCACCTGATTTGCAAAACCTGATGCCAATAAAATCAAACTAATACTGGTTTCAACCATGGCTTCCGTCACCGCCTTGTCTTTTCCGCGCTCAGCGGAGGGAGAGGGTTGCCGTGAGCGATGGGCGATAGCCATGCTCGTGTTTGGTGTCACCTACGCGGTAAGCTCGGCATGTCTACAGATGGCAAGAACCCTAGAGCAGTTGACCGGTGGGTTAACACACTATATCTAGGGTTTCATCTATCCCAACGTGTTCCATGCACTGTATGGGTGTGGTTTTTTTTTGCGGGGGGGAGCCGCTCAAAGTTGTGGCTTTCCTTGTGGCTTCTCTTTAAAGCCCTTCGAAGACGGGTACCCTCAAAGAAGGACACATGATCTACGGCATCGAGGCCAGGGCATGCGGTGGCTTCCGGAGACTCAGGTGGAAACCACTGCTGCAGGCCATTGGAGGGCAGGGGGGGGGAGAGGCGGGTGGGTTTTGTGGACGGTTGCGAGATCCATGTCGCACCTAAGAAACCCGAAAAATTCGAGTCGACGCCCATGTGTGAATATCAGCCAACCTTCTTGTTTCAAAAAACCATGGTTTCATTTCGGTGGCGCGAAGGGGTTTTGTCCATCCACAGTATAGGTTCTTACCCGTGCCCGTGCCTGGTATCGTTGGTTGTTCCTGACTTTCTGACTGGTTCGATTGATGGGCACAGCCATGTTGGGTCCATTTGTGGTACGTGTTTGTTGTGGTGCAACAAGGCCGTGGAAGTTGTTGAGAGGTGTGTATACATGCAACGCCGCATGCCGGAAGTTAGATGAAGTTTGAATTGGGCTGGACGTACTAACCAGGATTGGTCCCGGAATCGTTCAGTATTGGATCCCGAAAGCGCACGTTAATCCGATGTTAGCAGCACTTAACAGTTATTCTGCCGAAAAAGCAAAAAAAGACTGGGCATCTTTTCTAAACTCCCATTCTAGCACCCAGCATATGTATCTAGATATGCAAATGCCAATTTCTAGGTAGGCTGCGAGGGTTCCTCATAAGCCGCCGTTAATTCCTCATGTTTTGCGTTTGCCGCTGGGAGTAAAGCTTAGGTGCAGGCGCTTCGCATTTGGGTGTTCAGGCTTTTTTGGGGACAGGGTTACGGTCTGAATTTCATGTTTTAACCGCGTTTCAGGGTGTTAGAGGCTTTGGACGTGAAGGCTTTCGGTTTAGGGGGTGTCGCGTTTTGGGGCTGAGGGTTTGAGTTTACGGGCAGCAGTCTATTGGCAAGAAGCAGCCAAAGACGTGCATTGCAATCGCTTGGGCGCAAAAAATGGAAGCATCCCGGCTATTCACGCGCCACCTGATGCTTATGCACCGAGTAGGATTAGGGTTGCTGGTGCTAGCTCAATGGTGATCCTTTTGAGGACTACCTTCAGCGCGGCGCCAAGAATATTAGCATCATGGTCCCGCAAAGGACGTGTTTGTTTCGAACATAATCTTATCCGTTGCCATGTGTGTTTTTTAAGCATACATGGTGCCACCTAAAAAGAACCACGCCACCACACATCGAATCTATGATTACGGGTTCTATTTTCCAGACCCCCCGCCCCCGTTTGCTTCCCAATGCCTGCGTGCGAAGATAAATGTGGCGGGAGGAGCACAATCCATGGGACACATGCATGGAATTGGCTGGAAGTGGGAGGCGGGCTTTTGGATCTCGTAGCATGTTGTCCCAGAGCATAACAGGCGCCGAAGAACAAGGATGAGGGGTTTGGATACTTTAAATCCTAACTTTCTGCATGAGGGGTTGATTCCCCATTCTTTTAAGCCATCGTTCTTTTCAAGAACCAGCTGTTTCCCCTTCGCGCGTTGGGTGGTTTTGTAGAAAGAAGGATGCCTGGAAAGAATGGAATTGGAAGAGACCCCTAGAACGGGAGGCCTTTTCCAGGGCCTACTTCCGAATCGGCTCGCTCGCGTTCTCTCTCTCCCTTTGTCTCGAGGAGATGGTGTCACTGGTCAGCGCCACGCAGAACGAGATCGCCAAGGGGGCCATGGACGCTTGGGTCATCGTCCTGAAGGCTTGAAGAAAAAGCCTTCCGCCAGCTTCACATCCATAGCTGTCCTTTTGGTTGTTTTGCTAGAAAAATAGATGGCCCTGGTTTACCTGGTGGTTTTAATCATCTACCAGGGCCATGTAGTTCCCGGAAAAGGACACCTATGTTCACATCGCAAAGGAGTGAGTCATGCTCTAGGTTCAAGCCCATTAGACTGGTTGACGCAATTTGGACGATGGAACTCCTTGGGTACATGATGGCGATTATATTGACCGCCTTTGTTTTGATGGTTTGAACCCCATGCCCGTTTTGGTAGCTTTCTCTATTGGTTTAGTTGTTTTACTTGTTTGTGTGCATCAGCCAAGTCATGTCGCAAAGAGCCGTGCCCGTTTTGATGGCTTTGGTTGTTGGTTTGTTGTTTTACTTGCTGACTGTGTTTCGGCTGATTTGACCCTGTATTAAGGCCGTATCTCGTATTAGGGGCTTGTACTAAGCATTTTCACCTTTGTGCTCTCACATGTTGCGCAGTTTTTTGCCTGCCCCGCCCCTTTCCCTTTCAAGAGTGCGCCAGTCAGCAATTCAGAAGCCGAGTTTATCTGTTCATAGCTTTTGTACCTGGACATGGACACCCTTTCGTAACGTGGCAAGGGCACCCCCGGATGAATAAACCCATCCTACTAATAGGGGGTCACCCACAAAAGTAACGGATCCCCACTAAATGGGACAGCTTCCGATTCTTCAACCAGAGCTCCTGCTTCGTTTGGGATTAGCAGTGCTGCTTATCCTGGGCCAAAGAAAAGTTAACCTTGTTTCTGCTTGACAAAAGGTAAACTCAAAGACAAAAGCGCACAAACTGAAGAAGGTAACCCTCTCGTTGCTGAGGAAACTTGACGGAAACCCAAACAAAAGGCAAACCCTTTAATGGTTTAACCGTTAAAACTGCAATCTCAGTATGGCAAGGTCTTTGGGTTGGGTTAGCATGGGAAACCATAGCAGTGTGTGTCCTTTAAAAGGAGGCCCCTCAAAATGGATTTCGGTTTGCCTTGCAGAGAACAAAAAAAACAACTACGGTCGATCGGTGTGTTAAGACAACCGCGGCTTTGACCAGGGTCTGGAATATTTCTTAACTCTCTGACGGGCCGTAGGTCATTTGGTGAATTCCAGGGGCATCTTTCAACTTAGGGCGAGGGATTGGCAGCTTCCAACGTAGGCGCAGCCCAAAAGAACAGGGCTCTCGGGCAAAATAAGGGAGAACTATGCCTCTTGAGCCTGCACTTAGGGATTCCCGCGTTGGTGTGTCTTTTTTGACGGCACCGTTTTAGTTTGAAAGAGCCATTTTTAGGGGGTCCTTTAGTTGACTCCCATATCTTGCGACGAGGCAAGCATTTTGGACAACCAACTCGCAGGCCTCGGTTTGACTTTTCGCAAACCAAGAAACACAAAGCTGTCGCGTGGGACAAGCCCCTCCCGGTCGAGAGGTAGACGGGTTTTGGGAGCCATTCTGGCAGGAGTACCCCTTGACTGGACATCCAGAGCTTCCTCCTCATGGGGTATGGGACCACTTTGGGGCACGAAGCGCTGAAGATGAAACCGAGGGGGCCCCTAAGAACCTGAGTTTCTTCCTTAGCTCGTTCCCTGCTTCGGTCGAAGCCGCATGCCAGGGGGCGCCGGAAGGTGTGGCGCGGGCACTTGGTTTGAACCACAATGATGTGGTTTACAGGGGCCAGACTAATCGAAGGCCCGGGCTCCGTGCTGCCAAAGAAGCAATTTTAAGCTTGTTCAAGATCAGTTCTTTGGCCTTATGGCCAGTTTTTTTTTTTGATTTCCCTTGTGATCCCTGGTGCTTGTCCCACTGCCGTCATCACCTATCGACTACAGAGCTCTCCGTGTTGAAAAACCCAACTAAGCTGAGTTTACGTGTGGGGTGATGCGTAACAGGCACATAGGAATCCTGTCTCAGACCACTTCGATACCAACAAAGTCCCATCTAAAGTGAAAATCCGTCGCTGCGGAGATTGGAGTTTGCCTTTTGCCAGGGCATTTGGGAGGGATGGACCCGTAGGAACAGATGAGTTGCCCTGCGAAATCTAATCCACCGCTCGGCTTTGCCTTCCTTTTCGAATTTGGGATAGGGGCTGATAGCAATCCTTTCTTCACTTTTGCCTTTTTGCGTTTTGTTCATTCTCCCTTCCGCTGGCCAAACAGTTGTCTGTTTTGCAGGTTTGTGTCTGCCCTGTGCCCAGGGTATGGTTTTCCAGGCTGGAAAACGGAGTCTCAGCCGCCTGTGAATGCCCCGATACCCCCTTCCATCTTTCTCGCAAAGGCTAGAGACAAACATGATGTTCATAGGTGTGCTTTTCATCGGCTAGTTTAGGCAATGAAATAACTAGATTTCCCCTGCTTTAGATTCCATTTACAAGGGAAAGCTACTTTTTCCAAAAGGATAGAGGTCTACACTCGCGATGCGAGGCGACGCCTGTCCTTAAAAAAGCGCAATTCCTGTCCTTGTATGGCTTGTGAGGCAGCTGGGAAAACAATCTGTTCTTGACGAATTTGCGGTTTGGTGGTTGAGCGTGGTTGGTTCCATTGCAGCATGTGGGGAACCCACGGCAGCTAATGTTCCACACACACACACACACACACACCGCCAAGCCACATGCCGCTCTCGGGCGTGCGGCCGCATTCGCAGTGTTCCCGCATCTTCTCAGCCCAAAATGCCAAGGTTTCCTGAGGGTGTTTCTCTTGTTCTTTGTTGTTTTCCTTTGGGGGGGAGCTTGGCTTAGTTCGAGGGCAAAAGAAAAGAACAGAGACCACGCACTCCCGTAATTATTATTTTTTGTTTGGGGGGGGGGGGAGGGAGGGCGTTGTGTGACTTCTTTTTATGGCTTTTCTGCAAGGCTCATAGCTTGCACAGGATCAGAGGCCAGAGGATCAGGCTCTTTGTTTTGCTTTGCCAGTCACACCGGCCGCGATTCCAATTTTCCATGTTGAGCTCACTTCCTGAGTTCCGTTTCGGACTCGAAATTCTTGGAACGGCCGAATTTTTGTGGCGGAGAAAAAAGACGAGCTCTTGTTTTCACCAAGCACTCCGGAAGTGTGTGAAGGAAGCCACCAAACTCGCGGCAACGCGCGTGCTTCTTGCCACGCGCAAACAGCGCAATGGGCTGGTCCAAGTCCGCGAAGGACGCCCCTGAGAGCTATAAGCCCTACTACCTGCACCTCGGACAGGGCACGCGCTCGACTCGTCGACTCGGACCGCACCAAAACGGTCCAGTTGCTCAAGCCTATGTTTCATTCTTCCCCTGTTGGTTTTAAAGGGAACCGATTTCACTGTTTGGACATGTGTTTTTTCTAGTTTTTTCCAGGGGCATTAAGCACATGGAAGGGAACCCTCTACATCCTGCAGTGGGAACATCTGCAAGTTGCCTTTGTTTTCTTTTGTGGTTGCCGACGGCCCTGGTTAAAGATGATGTCCACCACACCGCCACCTCACGGGGAAAACAAACGTGTGGAGAACCTTTATGCAACGAGTTGATTGTGGCTTGTTCTACCCCATTTCCTCTGGGGCTAGTGTTTTGGGCAGCGTAAATCAGGTGCCTCTTTTGGTTTGGCCCCGCGCACCTTTTTGCAAATCAGCAGATGGCTACCCTACCTCCAATAGAATCTGGCCAAGTCGGGGGTGGACCTGAGAGGTAAGACCATAGTTGCCTTGAAAAGACCAAGTTTTCAGGCGGAATAGGTGTGTTACGGCGGGGGGGGGGGATATTCCTCAAGTGTTTCCAATTCGAGCGGTGCTTGCTTTGTAGCATGCCTTCGCTCGAGCAGTTTCATGTTGGCTCCTGTAGCGCTTGAGCCCTGGATGATGCAAACTGATGCCGATTGGCCATCGGCAATGGATGATTACGGGACAGCCATGTTGGTGGTTAAGTAATTTGCATGTTCGGAACTGCGGAGAAGTCTTCTTGTGGACTTTCAAGACTAGACCTGAAGTGATTTTTAAATTGTTCTAAATCAATCAAGTAGGCCAACATCTTATGGGTGTTTCTCAATCTTGGGGAGACCCCTCCAGGCTGGTGGTTTCCTTTTGGTTTCCTGTAGCCATCAAGTGGGCCCCCGATGTTGAGACACGCCCTATATGCCGTCCAAAGCGGAACCCACAGACAGAGGTGTACTGGAAAGCACATGGACAGCGCCCGAAACCCCTGATGGCCACTTTACTGGATGGTTCTGCTGCCTGGTTTCATCAAGGGCCTGTCTAAACCTGCTTAGCTGTGTTAGCAGAACCAATGGTGTTGGGCGCTGCTCACGTGACATGGCCTCACCCAAACACGACCAGAGGATCAAGCAGGCAAACATGTTCGCCACAGGCCACCTAACAGCCAGAGGCGTGAGCAACAAGCCATCAGCTGAAGCGTTGAGAGAACTGTGATCCTTCCAAACATGATCTTCTAGCTTGAGGGCCCCCCAAAAGGGCATGTTGCCACCCAAGGCGATAATATGAGCTCAGATGGGGGAAGACACCCACCCAAGCTGAAAGTTTGTTCTGGAAAGATGGGAAGCCCCAAAACGCCCAACCACCAATTCGACTCAAGGGAAGCTGAACCCCAGCTTTTTGGCAAGGGAAGCCTGGTGGGTCAAAATCCAAATCGGTTAGCCCCCAGTGAACATCCCAATCCAACCACTAAAGTAGGTTCTAAAGTGGGTGCACCGAAACCCCCCACAATTGGATCCCATTAGTTTTGACAACCACAGCCACCTCTTTGGCGTTGCCCTTTTGCTCTTTTTTGGGGGGAGGTTCCCCTACCAAAATAGACAAAACCGAAAAGAATCGGGTACCCTTATTCTAACCTCTCAAATCTGGAGGACCTAGCTTTTGTGGTAAATACAGTGGATGGGCCTTTTTTCCCCATCCACGGGCATACCCATTGGGCATGCTATCTCAAAGAAACCGAAGACCTGGCATCCTTTTAGGCAAGGGAAACCAAAAAAATGGGATCCCAAAACGGTTTTGACACCCACGGCCACCGGTTTGGGCGCAGGGCGATTCGCGCGATTCCGATCTCAGGAAGTATGAGGAGCTCAAGGAGATGGTGGTGGAGTTCTCCCGTGAGGGGCCCTCACTTCGTAGCCGCCTCCAGCCGCTCGACGCGGCGCGAGTCACATCTTTGGGAAGCGGCCGGGCGGGCGGCCCAAGCGGGTTGTAACCATAGGTGTCCTTTTTGGTTGTTTTTCTAAGAAAGCAGATGGCGATTCCTGGTTTACCTGGTGGTTTAATCATCTACCAGAGCCACCTATTTCCCTAAACGGACACCTATGGTTGTACCAAGTGTGGAGCTGTTCCGTCTCCAAACATTGCACCTGGGGTAGACTTAGGATGCATTTTACATGTTGCCAGTGGCTCAAAGTGAAGCAAGCAATGAAATATAATTACATTCTACAACTGGGCATAACTCTAACCATCATTTGTTTATTTTCCTGTTGGTTTTAAAAGGGAACCTCTCACTGCTGAACATATGTTTTTGTTCTCCAGTCATATAACTGGTTGCCTAGCTCTAGTCATGCTACGTTTTGCCGATAGGTCTCTTTAGCTGAGAGGCCCAAAAGTGTCTGAACTTTGGCCAGTCATTCGAATGTGAGTTGGTAGCATCCCACCGCATGGTTTTGGTGTTTCTCCATTTTTTTCTCCTCTCTCAGCTGATGGAAGAACAGATCGATTCCCAGGTTGGATTGAACAGTGGCCAAACTCCGAGCAATTCACACAGATCTCTTTTTCAGGAAGCCATGGACGCATATGTTCGAACGCCCCAGTTCAGCAAGCCCGAAGCGTCGCTCCGAGCGCGGTCCCTCCAAGGGGGATGTCCCATAGGCCCAGAGTCGCAGCGTTAAGGCGCAGGCCTTGAAGCCATGGTGCAGATGGGTCGGTTTTTGAGATGGTCCCTTCGCTTCCTTCCTTTGCTGACCCTAGATGGATAAATTCTAGCCCTAGTTCATTCATACTCACGTTTCGAGTTTTTGGACTTCGGTTTTTTGGACTTACCCTTCCTCCAACTAACATGCCACCTGTGGGAGGGTTACCTGGAAGATCAAGTTCCTTGGAGGGATCCCCTTGGTGCCATGGCAACGTGGGAGGGGGGGGGTACTTTTTGGGAAGACCCATTCTAGCGACCAAACGGTTCGGACTTTGGTTTCCGTTCACATCGTTCAATAAAAATCGTTGCCTCGCGAGGTCTGCAGACATCATGGAGATGGCCAACCAGCCCATCGGGCGCTTTCAGGAGCGGGATCTCTACCGGGTCCCTTCAAACACCCCTACCACCAAACCACCCCTGAACCACCCCTTAATGTCCACCTAAATTAATAAATGTTTTAAGGGGTTGATTCCTTTTCCATTATCTTTCAACCATCGTCCTTTTCAACAACTGGATCCGTTTTGCCTGGTTTTTGATGGTTTCCTGGAAGCAAGGATTAATAAACCCGCCCCTTTGTTAGGGGGGTGTTCCCTCCAAAAGTGGTTTGAATCCCCGCTGAAAGCGGACACCCCCCAATCAAAATCAAGCAGGGGTTTATTAATCCGGGGTTAACATGACCGGGTTCCTTAACACCAAAACCACCAAACCCCCTTAGCCACCACTTAGCCGCTTAGCCTCCTATACCTTACGTAGCCTTAACCACCCCCTAGCGTATACCACCCCTTAGCCTTAACCACCCCTTAACCACAAGCCACCAACTGCGAAGGTGAAACACACCGGCAGTTGGCTTGCTCATCCCCACGGCCTCTTCAGCCTTTCAGCTTTTTTCGTTGGCATCATCTGGGGGATGTTTGTATTCCCAGGCGGGTGGTCTAAACAGATGCCATGATCAGGCTTATTCCATTTAAGCTTGAAGCTTGAAACATGTTTTTTTTTCTGTCCAACCAGGCTTATCTGTTGTTTCTACGTAGGCAGCGGCAGGGTTGAGCAAACTCTCGTTTTGACATGTTCAGTTCACAAAGTGAATCAACCATGTACTATTGGTTTCCCTTCACAATGAGGGTATGTTGGGCTCCATGTTAATCTGATTGTACGGCACCCTCACGTGGGGGTAAACGAGCTCACCATGAAGGTCCTTTTCTTGGGGATCCGTTATTGACAGATTTTCTTGTTTATTTATTTACTTATTTATTTATTTATGTATGTATATAGTTATTTATTACAGGCGGAGAAAGAGGTAGAACAACAAAGCAATTGCAGATGTTACGGCCTACAGTGACAAACTAATCAGTTGGCGCATGGAGCCCACAATTGTGGCCCACCCGTCTCCCGGTTGAAGTCTCCAGTGCGAACTGTCCCATCCACTGGGGAAGGGGGCGTACCCATTGCGTATGCTAACTCAAAGAAACCATTGGTGCATTTTGCCAAGGGATCTTAGGACTTTAACTTTTTGCAAATTAATAGGTTTTCCCTATTTAAACCACCAGAAGTTTTTCTCTTTTAGCAGGGGAGCAGAAAGCAATCGAGAAACACAAGCGGTGAGGACATGCTGCGGGCAGAGCTGCAGAAGGTGAACCAGTTCGCCTGCGCCTCTCTGCCCGCGCAGGGAGTTTGGGGCTTCGTGTTTTTTCTGACCCTAGATTGGTAAATGAAACGCCTGGTTGATTCATACGAGTTTTTTGACTTCGAGTTTTTGGACTTACTTTGTGGCTTGACTGCTATTGGGTTGGATCTTTAGACTTTAACTTTTTGGTTCAAATCAAGTTGGGATTTGCACTAACCCCCCCCCCAAGTTGTCCACTTTTTGCAGGGGGGTCAACAGCAACGAAGTTCTTGGCGCTAAGAATCCGGGCGATTCTTTGGTGCAGTCCCCGCGAGTCTCATCACCCCCTGTTCTCGGTGACAGAAACAAAGTTGTGCCATCTACTTTCACCCTGGTGTAATAGGGAATCACCTTGTGTGGTTTCTTCGGGGCATTCTGCCAAGGGATGTTAGGACTGCATGACTTTTTGATCCAACTAAACGGTTTTCCGTATTAAATTCCACTAAAAGTTATTCACTTTAAGCAGGGGAGCAGAAAGCAACCGAGGATTGGTCTTTGCCGGACTTGGCTTACCTCTTTTGTTTTTGTTTTTGTGGGTTCCCTTCATTTTCCGTTTCAACCTGCAAAGAGCTAACCTGCAAACAGTTTAGCTTTTCGCAGGGCGTCTAAGTTTGGCCCAGTGTTGCGCTTTCGCCAAAGGGCCAGCAACCCCCCCCCAAAAAAAAACAAGCTGGCACCCTGGTTTGAGAGTGAGAGTAAACCTGCCTCAAATTCTGTGGCCGTGGGTTTGTTTGGAACTCCCTGTGCCGGCCTTTCGGTGAGGGAGGCCTAGCAACTTGTTGGGCGGTTTTGAGGGTGTCACGGTCCGAGGTCGCCTTTGGGGTGGTTTTTGAGCATGACCTGAGGTGAGCCTTCGTTTGTGAGAATGGTTTAAATTCCCATTGGAAAGACGCGCGCTCCGGGCGCTTGTGTTGAACCACCCACCCTGGGAAGAGGCGCAGAGATTTCTTGCCTTTTAGGTGGGGTTTGGGCACCTGCGGCAAAGTTTGAGGTGAGCCTTCTCCTTTGGGTGTTCAAAGTGAGGGGAGCTCTCTGCAAGCCTGGCGGCCTGGGCTTCTTTGTGTTGGGCGTGGCAAAGCCTGGTAGCTGGTATGCCAAAGCCACGCCATCGACTTGGGGCTGAAGGCCCATGAAGGGGGTTCCCCATTTCCCGTGGGCACAAGGGAAGTGATGGCTATGACTGTAAGGGAAGCACCTCGGAAGTGGTGGAAAACTTCCCCATCTAAATGATGTCCAACAAAGGCCCTCTTATTTAAATTCAATACCCTAGTGATCGGCAAGGGGTGTTTGGCGGGGATGCGCCGAGCAACCCATTTTGGCAAAGTATATTCTGTGTCTTCTTTGGTGGGTTCTTCGCACACGCACTGGTTGCAACTGGATGACTCGGACCAATGCACAGGCCCGCACTCTTATCAATTTATAGGACGGTGGTCCACATCCATCTTGGTCATGTGCAAGGGCCCCCCCCATGCTTTTGATGGGTGAATGGGAGCTCACTTGTTCTTTTGGACCTATTTCCCCGATTTAAGCAACCGTTTTTAGTCATGGCAAGAGATGATCGCCTTTTGCTTCTGGCTCGTGAGACGGAAAAACCAGCGAAACGCCGGTTGCACCCCGCGGCGTCCCGCGGGTTTTCAGCCCACCTCAAGCGGCCGCTTGAGGTGAAGCACGAGGACGTCTTCCTGGGGCTCCGGCGCCTGTGCGAGCAGTGCCGCAAGAAGCTCACGCCAGAGGCTGGGATGGTCGTTTTTTGAGGTTTCCCCCTTTTGGTTGGTTTTAAAGGGCCGGAATCTGGGGTCCCCTAAAGAAAAAGTCACGCCCAGACAAGGGGGCAACATTTCCTGGACCCTTGAATTTTGATTGACGACAGTTGACGACGTTTGATGTGAAAGCACCCCACAAACCCATTTCATTTTTTCGGGATTTTGCATTAGGTCCTAAAAGGGGGTGGGTGGGCTCTGGAGAAGCTATAAGTGATGCATGCCTTACTGGGACCGTCCTCCTGATTTGCCGAAAGAGATGGAGTTGTAGCATTTGCTTTCGTCCTGGTACTAAGTAGCTTTGATCAAGATGGTATTTGACGACGATTGATTTGAAAGCACTCCACGAACCCATTTTGGAACAGACGGAGTTGTGGCATTTGCTTTCCCCCTGGTACGAACTAGCTATGATGTTGAACTGTTCTTGAAGCTACCAATTCCTTGCACATCCAACATGGCCGTCTACCGGTGGTTGGAAGCTGCAGCCAGCAGATGGCTCCTTTGAAGTTGCTTTTTTTGGAATCGGAACCCCCCTCAAGGAAGGAACCTGATAGAGGATCCCTTGAGGTCGACATCGTCGGCTGTGTTCGTTGTAATTAATTGGTTCTTCGACCTTTTCAGCCTCCCAAATCCTGCTTTGCCTTACTCTAACCATACGGGAGAAGCTACTTGATAAGTAATTACTGCAGAGCCTGTGTACTTTAGACGCGACAAACTTAAAAATCCAACTAAGTTGTATTGTACGATCATGACAACACTTCCATTTGCCTAAGATTTGCTTGTTATTTCCGCTGATGATTTTCAAAGGGAACCAATGGCCATTGTTTCAGATGTTGTCAAACGAAGGAACACGCCATGGTTTTAAGCGCCTCGAATTGGAAGCGCCAAATCGGAAGCGCAAGCTGCTGGGCCATGTAGCCAGGAAGTGGCGCCCATGGCGCAGAAGATTCGCAACATGGGGGAGGAGATTGGGCACTTGGACGCGCGCGGAGCTCAAGAGTTGGAGAAAATTCGCCTTTCTTTGGGGCGATTTTTCGGGGAAACTTGAGAAGTTATATCAGGATGCTCCGAGCCTCTCTCCAAGATGGGATCATAAGGGTAGAATGTTGGGCAGGGTTGCCTTGGTCCCCCTTCGCTGGTTCAAATAAACATCAAGTTTGGTGGCCCGCTTCGATAGAATATCTATTTGGGATACCGGTTGTTTCTTCTCGAGTACGTTAAACTTGACGCAGGTAACACATAGTGTTGACCCCAACAAGTTCCCAAAACATGCTGAATGGTCACAGATATGGGAAGCCACACACGCACAAAGCTCGGTGCTACATGGGAACCTCTGGCACTAGCGATGGCCCACCCCGGATCCAATGCGGGGAAACATCAGAAACAACAACAACTGCATTGACTCCCACCAAAGACTTCATCATGGGATGCGAGTCCAATCTCACTGGAAAGGATCAGGCACCATTCACATTCAACATCCTTTACTGCCTGCGGGGAAGATGTTCATCAAGCAAGCCTCGCTGGCTTGCCTACACCCCGCATAAGACGTGGGGTGGGGCCATGGAAACACGGCCGACCCAGTTTGACTCCATGTGCTTGACTGACGGAACTAGGTTTCCTTGTCTTTCCTGCATAGTCACTTGTCGCAAGGACCTTCTTGAAGGCTGAAGGGACGCCACGGTTTCACCGGGTCATTTGTGCGGGACGGATTGCATATATACATATATATATATATGTAGATATAGATATATATACTGTTGTTTGCTTGATTTTGTTGGCTCAATGACGCCAAAGAGCCAAGCAAAGATGTAGAAGAGGCTTGGGTCCCCAGGTGTATCGAGGTTGGCTCAAAATGGGCAAACCCCTCGGATGGGTGGTTTCCCTTTGTTTTTCGCTCCCCCACCCCCCCACCGCCCACCCAACCCAACAAAACAGCAAAGTGAGACTCGCCCCCTAGGTACGTGCGCCTGAACTACATGGGCTTTCAGATGCTCACCGAGAAGTTCGATCTTTGCCTCGGCACCTGCGGGAGCGCGTTGTTTGTTTCTGGACTCCACTGCGAGCCATTTTGCGCTTTGGCGGGACAGGTGCTGGGCGTGTTGGGGGCGAACAAATAACTCACGTGTTGATTCAGTTAGGTGTGGCCTGTTTTGACGGAAGCGAACGATTTGTGCTATGTTGCTTGAGTTTGATCCCTTGTTGTATCTCGTTGTGCATAGCCTAGCCCTCTGGCATCGCGAAAGTCAACTCAGCAGAACATTTGCATCTTTTCCCCTTCCCCAAAAAGCTTATGCAGCCAACAAGTTGCAGTGGGTTGGCAAGCACGAAGCCAACAGCTGTCAAGAAATGGGTGGAAGGAAGAAGACCTGGCCTCTTGCGGTCTGGGGCCTGGGCTAAGCTGCTCCAACATATCGGAGTTATGACTTGGACAGACACAGGCTTGATCACTACCAGCCATGCAAAGATTGTGCTGTCATTCCGAGCTGTTTGGGTGTGGCTGTGCCGCAGTTCAAGGCTCAAGACCATGGCAACCATTGACATTGAACTCTTCAGTTAGTTGTGGCCCGGCAACAGCCCAACCCTTGAAGACCAAACCTCAAGATGAATACACCAACCGCACCTTCACAAAGGTTGAAAACTACGCCTTTAAGAAACGCACCCCGAACCTCATGAACCAGAGCTTTGAGCCCACCAGCCACCTACGACCCCCCGAGGCAACATCCGCTTCGACGATATCCTGATCCTCCTCGGCCTCGCCTGGGCGCGCTGGCGCGCTGCCCAGTCCACAGCAGAGCAGGCGAAGGCGGACCTGCGGCCGGACACGCCCCGCTGCCCCATTTGCATGGCTTACCCATCGGCAGACTAAGATGGAAGATGGGTGTTCGGGGCACCCAGAGGAGATTTGTTTGCAAAGGATGGTGGATTGGGTTCCATGTCAATTTGCAGGGGGGAGTCATTTGTCAGAACGTTTTTTGGACGGTTGTCAGGGCAACCCGCCCTTGCTTTGACATGGTTTATCCTAGGCGCTATGAATTTTAAATTGCGGGGAAGCCCTGAAAGTGGCTGGCCGACATGGATTCGCCAGGTAAGTTGTCATTGCGAGACTTAACTCGCTTGTGCCCTTTCGCCTGTTTGGTTCCTTCACTTTTCGTTTCAATCAAAAAGAAACCTGGGTAGTATGCCCAATAGAACTCTCTGAAACCCCCTTTTGAGCCCTCCTTTTGAACCCTCCCTGAAGGCTACCCTGAACCACTCCAGCTGAATTTGGGCCCATCACCAAGCTTCCAGCTGGGGAAACTTTGTTTTGCTTTCTGCAGGCTGGGGGTTTGGGGTGTGGGCAAGCACTGAGTTGTTTTAGTCAGATGGGTGTGTCTTGTGCTGGGGTGCCAAAAAGCAAACATGGCACCACGGTATGAGGGGGCCTAAATAACTTGAATTGGGGCCATGTGACAAAATAAGTCATGATCACAAGGGTTGCGACTTGGTTTGAGGATTTGAGGCCCTGGTTCTTGTAGGTAAATGGGAAACCGCCCCGGGGTTCACCTCCAAACCACGCAGCTGCCAACCACAAATTGGAGCGCAGGATGCCACCTGGAAGCCGCCTGAGAGCTTCATCCGGCGGCTGGACGTGTGTTTTTTGGCGGGGGGAGGGCGGGGGGAGGGGGATAGTTTGGCTATGCAAACATAGGTGTCCTTCTCACAAAAAAATAGAGGGCCCTGGTTTAGACGGGGTTTATTCCATGTACCATGGCCATCTATTTACCCGAAAGGCCACCTATGTACGCAAAACTGACAAATTGGGGTGCCTGAGGCCGCCGGCTTGTGGACTCCACTGTGGTCGATGTCTTTTTGGGTGTGGCGGTGCCTTGTGCACGGTAGTCCGCTTCTGTTTCTGGGTGGCCGCAAAAGTGTTAGGAACAACTCCTCGATTCAGGCACACCCATGCATTTGGGGGGGGTTGCTTTGGGCAGCAATTGGGGGAAAGGCCATCTTTCGCCGGGGCAAGCCCTGGAACCTTTGGACCTGCCTGGCCTCCTAGGTTGGTTTCGCGGGAACTTGAAGATTAATCAGATCGGATGGGCGTCCCTTCTTCGGTGGAACCCTGCAAATATGGGTTTTAGACTCAGGATCAATTCCTGCTCCCAGCTTGAAAAGAAGCCTTCCCAGTTCTTGGTATGCTCTTTGGGCGTCCTTTTTTGCTTGGGGGGTGGTTCTTGGCATTGTTGAGTAGGATGCCCACAACACCCCGCGTTTTGGACAAATCTCAGGGGTGGAATCCTCCAGTGGGCTCTTCTTCGAAGAGGTTCACAAGGCCCAGCCTTCCGTACCAGTTTTCATGGAATCCATGGTGTTGGAAAAGTCTGGGGGGGCAGCTAGCCTCGGTCCGGAAAGCAGGTTGGGACGTCCAGATTGGCTCAAATGAGACCTGTTGCTGAACTTCCTGGACTTTTTATACTTTTTGGGAAGACCATTTGCCAGTAAATAAAAAGTTCAGATTCTTTGTGGCCAATCCACTCCGGAAATCAGAGGGAGGGTGTCCGTTAGCCGGATGGATTTTTCCTTCCGGTTCCACCCTCGCCCCTTTCTTTGTGGATCTGCATCTTCCGTTTGGTTAAGTTGTTTTCTTTTCTTTTTTTAATATATATTTTCCCCTGTTGGTTTTAAGGCGAATCTAGACTTCAGCAAATGGATCTTCACCAGTCAAGCCACCTACCCACCCCCCCCACCCCCCACGGCTCCCCCAGCCCGCTCCCCGGAGAACTTCTTTCCGAGGAACACGTCGAAGTACTGGGTCCAGCCGGACAAGGTGGTAATGCTGAAGACCCGCATCGTGGAGCACCTCCCGCGCCGCGGAGTCGAAAAAGAAAGCTCTCGACTTGGGTACGGTGGGTCGTCGAGGCGTATTGTTTTGTTTCTTTGCTGGTGGTCTCTGGGATTTTTGGGGATCAAAGTCGGAAAGCTGGGTTTGTTTCCCTTGAAGCTACCACTTAGGGGTGACTTCGGTAATTGTAAAGTAGTGGGGCCAGACTCTGTTTGGGATGATAGAGAATATTTAGTCATGGCACCAAAAGGTGATCACCTGTTGATTTCTCGTTCCTGTGGGCAACGGACAAATATATGCATTGAATATGGGCATCCCTTTGTTTCAGGAACCTTTTTTTGGGGGGGCTTGCAGGCAGGCACATGGAACATATTGACTTTTTGGGATGCCCCTCCCTCATATAGAGATCCTTGTTTGTCAGGTAACCCTTGGCTGGTGGCCAGCAATTAAAACCATCAACCAAGAAAGGCTCAGGATAGTTTTTTTGGGAAGCCTCATTTGGGGCAGTTGGCGCTTTCAGGGATGCCACAGGGACACTTCCCAAAATGGATTGTGCCCCCCTTCTCAGGCACTTCATTCAGCAAATTGGTGCCTGTTGGGTAAGTCGCGTGCGACTTGGACATGCGTTCAAGTTGGCGCAGGGTTCCACTTTTGACTATTCCAGGCTAGGGTAGAACAAAGGTCAAATATTGGAGCTCTGGCACCAAAGCCCGCAACAACCTGTCAAGTTTCGACTGGGCTGAAGCCGACAGGATTTCCCGACGAAAAAGCCACTGACTGCTTCTTGGATGTTTTCCAGATTGCACTCAAGCTGCTCATGTGGCTTTTGCTTGTTGGAAAGCACACTCATAGACGGTTGGTGGACAACCCCCCGGTGAAAATTTGATGTCCACCAAAAGGCCGTCAGTCGAAGTTCGTACCCACATGAAGCTGAAGCAGCAGGTGGTTACTTTGGCAGGAGGCCTGGATGTTCGTGGTATTGTGGAGAAACTTGGATATCCACCCCACTTAGGAAGTAGATCATTTCTTGGTTCCCAGCCATCCCCTTAGGCTTTTAGTTGTTGAAGGTTCCCATTTGACCCGCCAGGCCAGATATTCATGCTTGCAACTGGGGTAGCCGCAGGGCTGGTTTCCCTGCAAGCTCCCCGATAAGCATGGTTACGACCTACCCGCTGGCCTCAGGTACCTGATCTTCGGGGCGTCGCAGTCAGCGCTTCGGCTGCAGTGACTGCGCCCAGCGAAGCGCGGGCGGCAGGAAGTGCATAGGTCGTGACCGCCCTATGGGATTTTGAAGCTCTAGGCTAGACCTTTGGGCAATGTTTCTTTTGGTTGTTTCCTTTTTGTGGGTGATACTGTGGATGGGATTTCGCACCACCGTTCAGAAAGCCCAGGTTTCTGACCATCCCCCCTGCAAATGCCAACCAACCTTGTGGCTTCAACCACGGTTTCAAGTGGTGCTGGAGTTTGTCCATCCACAGGGCAACCTGAGGGCTGGCTCGTCCCCAACGTTCCAACTAGCATTGCTGAGCTCTGTGCGACCCCTAGCTCTTCCATGTTTTGACCTGTTGGGTTGCCTGTTTTGGTCCACATTTAAATGTAGTCAAGGTGACATTCAAATGTAGTTGGCAAGTGAGTAAAAAGTATTGTTGAACATCTGATTGGATTGTTTTCCTCGGTTTCCCTTTCCCATCCATACCTGTACCCCTCGAATGGGAGCAATCCTGACAGTTCTTTGGCCCGGTGTTTCCCAGCTCACTTCCCATTTGCTCATGATTTGTCCAACCCACTCGACCGAACATGCGCTTTCGACCTTTTGGCTTTCCTGTTTCGGCCCGCATCTAGTCAAGGTCGCTGGGTCATTTCGTCATGTCCACATCCGGACATGCAAGTCAGTTGAGTCGCAGATTTTAGCCCCTGTGTCCAGAAACACCAGGGGCTCCCCATCTTGGAAATTCCAATGTTTGACCACCACATCACCACAGCCAGATGAGTCGAACAAAATCTGCCCCTGGTTCTCAGGAGCAGGAGAAACTTCTGGAGCCTTTTGCCCTCCTGGACTTGGAGTACAGCGGCATGGACAGCCAGGCTTTGAGCTGACAGCGGGGCTGGGCATGGGCGCGGCCCCGCTGTTTGTTTCTTGATTGGGTTGATTTGGGTTTTCTTGGGTGGGTTGGGTTGGTTGCGTTGGATTGGTTGGATGGTTGCTTGCTTGTTTGATTGCTTGTTTGAATTTATTTGTTATCGTGTTTCATTTCTTCTTCTTTTTTTTTTGGGGGGGGTGGGGTGAACATTGTCCTGGCTGCCAGCTGCACGGGGCTTTGGGGGCTGCTTTGGGCAGATTTTTCTTGGACCAACTCGGAGGCGTGGTTCATTATCTTACGCCGCAAGCGGACAACTCACAGTCTGGAGCTTTGCGTTGTGTGGCATCCATTGTCATATCCCCACCCCTTACAAAAATCGAATTGGGGAGGGGGTGACCCCTTGAATTCCGTTAGTGGTTCCATTTTCCATTTTATCGGGAATTTTCGACAAATGGGATTGGGGACCCCACACCCCCTCCCCCAACAGAAATTGTTTGATGGTTCCTTAGCGACGAGCCTGTCAACCCTGGCCCACAGGGGGTAACTCTCTTGAACAACGTACGTGGTCGTTGGCTTCCAAGCCAAGCTCGCCAGACGCTCGTAGTTTCCCCTTGTTTCAGTGGTGCCCCACTAGGGTTTACCTCTGTTGCCCAGTGGTGCCCTTTTTTCCTTTCTTTGGGTAAGGGTTCTCCTTTAATCTCAACCAACCCCCTCCCCCAAAAAACAAGAACAAAGTGCCTTTTTTTCCCATGGCCAGTGGCCATCTGCGTTACGGACATAGGTGTCCTTTCTGGTTGATTTGGTAGGAAAATAGATGGCCCTGGTTTACCTAGTGTTTTCAGCATCTACCTGGGAAACCCATCTATTTCCCCAAGGACACCTATGGTGGTGCCCCACGAGGGTTCTCAGTTTGACTTCATGCCACAATCAAACCTAGGTAGATGAAGGTTAGTAAGGGGCAGTCCCAGCCTGAAATAGTTGCGGGATTCCGCCTTCTTAGTTCTTGAAGCATGGTTCTGGGTAATTCGACCATTTGATTTCCGGGTTTTTTGCAGCTCGAAGACTTCATGCCAATGGAGGCGGGGCGTAGCCCCGGAGCCCCGGATGCCGGATGACTCGCCGGATGACTCGGCTGCCAGCTTCCGCAGGCCATGAGCGCATACTCGGGCACCATGGAGGAGTCGCAGCTGCTGAGCTCCGTGTACTTCGACAGCGCCTCGGCGATCCCAATTGGCCGGTTGCGTAACCTACGGCGATCCCATTTTGGGGTGGATGAACTCACTGGAGTGCATAACTCCTATGGCGAGCCATTTTGGGGTGGATGAACGTCCATTTGCCACCTATTTTGATGTTCCCGGGGTACAGGGTTTTGACCCACAACCAGTTGGGCTCCTGATGCAGCAAAACCACTACCCCCAAGAGAAAGGAGGGGGGGATGTAGACAGCCATACCCACTGTGAAGGGTAGTATGTCCAATTCTCTTTTGGGGTAATGAATGGTTATGGGGTAGGGGAGCGCCTCTGAAATTGGCGTCTGCTTGTGACTTGTGACCGGTGGCGGAAGATCAAAAGGCCCGAACTTGTGTGATTTGTGAGTGGGTGATGGTTTTGAGGGTTGGGAAGCCACAAGTAAACAACCTTTTTGTTGAAAGTCGCACGTGTGTCGACTTGTTTCTGTGGCTTACACATGAGGCGGGATGGGGAGGGAGTGCGGGTGTAAAATGGAATGAGGGCCACGTAAGGGATCTTGATGCGCTGCTTTTCTTTGAGCCGGATGCACGCATGTGTGGTGCGTTGCCAGGCCCTGATGCGAAGTGCTACCGGGAGAGGATCAGAAGAGAGGAAGGCGCTCGGTTGGTGAGGCGCGTGGAGGGCTTGGCCCTTGACCCGACTTTGTACATGGGCCTGTGCCAAAAGTTGGGACAGCTTAATTTGACATTCAGAAGGGCTCCAGCCACCCATCGTTGAGGAAGCTTTGACAGATAGGCGTGGTTTTCTGTGAGCAGACAGTGTTTTGGAAGGGCTGCTGATATTGACACCTCGCCGCCGGGGCTTTCGGATCTTGCCTGGACACTTCCAAGCTGCAAATTCCATTTTGATAAGATTGAGGTGCAATCAAAAGCCTGCCGCATGCCTTGCGGCAGTCTTGTCGAATCCACTGGAGCTGATGTTAAACTCAAATCTCTGCAGAAGAGTGGTGCGTTTCGGCGGACACAATGGTGCGTATGCTGAATCTCTGGTTTCCCTAGCCTGTCTCAACTCGAAAGGCTGTTTTGAGGCTTGCTTAGCCTTCTCATCTTAGCGCAGAGGAAGGCTAATGGGAAAGCCACCATTCTTGAGGTCCATTATTTTGACACATCTTCATGAACCAAACACCGCCTTCAGCGCACCCAGCTAGCTAGGTGGCCCATCAATTCCGCGCCAAATCCTCTTCTGGCACCCAGCCAAAGGAATCCCACAAGCCGGCCAATACAGGTTGCATCCCCGCAGCCGGGAGGCAGAACGGTAATTGGTTATTGGCTGACAGTCCTTCAATCTCACAGGGGCACAGGTTGAAGTAGGGAGAGATGTCGCCCATTTGTCAATTGTAAGTGTCTTAGACAACCACCTGCAGGGCTTCTAATCCGTTCTCCCTAGGCTATCCTTTACCATGAAGAAGGTGATTGCCAGGGACCGTCGCCCTCCCGACTTACATGGAAGCACCCAGGAGTTGGGAAGGGAGCTTTGCACTTTCACCGGGTACCTGGTGGGTTTTCATGACTTTTGCAAAAAGAAAGAAAGCCACAACACCTCGAGCATACCCTACTTTACCATGGTCTTTATTGCGGCTGGCAGCTTTCCATACACCAAGAGCATCTACGGAATCACCTTCCCATGACCCACGGGTTTTCCATGCAGCTTGGTTCCGCTTGTGACAGGTTCCGCTGGTATGGCGAGCGACTTGGCTGCCCGCGGTATAGCGCCTGGGGAAAGGGTTAGACCGCCTCAGTTGTTCAAAGCCGACCTTTTCACCTTTCGGGCGTCCAAGTTGGTCCATTTTTAGTCACGGCCCTTTAAGGTCAACCTTTTTTTTTTTTCCCCCGTATCCTTTGGGCAACAGAGATGCTCAGCTTGTGCCTCCAAGTTGAGGATCAAGTGTGTGTGGATATCTGAGGCCTGGACGACCGTGTATGAATGTCCCATAGCTTCCAAATTTGGTGGAGACCATTGGAGACGCCTCCCCTAGTTTCTGGACTTGATGCTTTTTCATAGGCCATTTTGGGGCGAATCCACCTAGGAAGTGTGTCTGGATGGAATCCGGCAACTTTGTTTAGTTCCTGGATGCTGGGTACAGCCAGTATGTTCAGCTCCCACTAAATGAAACCACCAGCGGTTTGTTTGTCCCATTTGTTGTGCCGAAGGCCTTATTTGTCAGCCGGGGCATGTTATGTTGTTGCTTTGCTCCCTGGCAATCGGGGCACAGGTTTCAGATAAGAGAGCCAGCTGGTCAATGGTCGATGTATGTAGCGCAGGGTGGGCCTTAGACAGCTTTTAGAACCCATAAGTGGCGCCCATAAGACCGCATCTTGCACGCAGCGAACAGGGGAACACTACGGTTCGTGGTTGGTTCACTTTCCGTAAGGGAAATCAACCGGAGTTTCTGGGAAGCGGCTCCGAACATTTTCCCCATTTGGAGGTTTTAAGTGTTCCATGTCGGGCCAACCCAAGATCAGCTTTCTGTCTGAGGCTTAGAGGGTAAATGGCAGTCCCAGTTTCAACCTTTGCACGTTCCGCCAAACACTTTGTGGGAAGACAAAACAGTGGTCAACAAGTAGTTGGGCTTTCTTTTGGCCAATCCGCTTGATCGAAAGTGAGTCAAGTTGGAGCAGCTTGTGGATCTCCTTCAAAATGAAACCCCTCCAACTACCAATCAGTTGTTTTTCTTTTACGCAAATCTGGGACCCCGCTCCATGTATTAACCAGGTGTGTTTAAAGAACATGTGGGCTCGCATGCAGCGAATGTGAATCCCGGCGGTCAGGCTGCGCTCAACGCACAGGATCCAAGTGCAACAGATCCAAGGGCGCAGCGGTTCGGTAAGGGGGGGGTCAAGGCCAAAGTACCCAAACAGAACCTCGGATGTGCCCCAAGATGAACAAAGTTTTTTTTCTTCCCGAAATCCTAGGTGTGCTGGGACGAACAAAGGAACCAATTCGAAGTCCTAGGTTCATAATTGAACGTTGGCCTACATGGATCCTTTGAGAACGTCAGCTGCCAAACGTTCAACGCCAGGTGTGCGAAGGGGGGACAAAGCCCAGACCTCCAAGTGTGAAGCGATCCCCATATTAATCCCCATTAGTGCAGGGCCCTTTTGTTTAGATTCTCTTCTGTGGATGGATTAAATCCATTTCGCACCACCTAAGAAGCCCTGGATTCTTATGATTCTCCAACTTAAATGCAAACAAACCTTACGGTTTCAACCATGGTTTCTTAGGTGGTGC